GCTTAATTTTCTAATTTTTAACGATACAATAGCGACGATTATTATTTTAAAAAATTTTTGTTAAGCTTAACATCGATGAAAATTCAATGCAAAATAGGTTAATAGCGATATACTAATATACTAATTACATGGGATATAATAATATACTACACTAATAATAGATTTTTTCATACTTTTCGGTTATCCGCCCTTTCAATTATCTGACCAACCCCAGTCCCCAATTAGGTCGGATAATCGAGGCTCTACTGTATTTACAAACATCGCTAAACCTGATATATAATATAGCTACACACCAACCGAATGCTGAAAATGTTAATCTCTTATTAATCTCTTATTAATGTTAAAATCTCTTATTAATGTTAATAAGAGATGGCGCCTAACGCTTACCTCTAAAGCCAAATTGGTTACGTAATTCATTTAATAATTAGCCTTATACTAGCCCGATAGATATTCGGCATTTGGTTGGTGTGTAGTTATGTAGTATTTTTACTTAATTCTGCTATATTTAATATACATATATTTCATTATGAGTTTTGTCAAGTTACTGTATATCCATAAATTATTATATTGTCATACTTTACAGAGATTACTTTATTACAGCAATTATTGTTTACAATTAAATCAGCAATTAATTTTTTTGATTTGCAGACCACTTAAACCAAGTTACAGATGAATGAAGGTCTGTAACTTGGTTTAAGTTAAAAGGATAACTTATGCTTCCATCCACTTCCTATTCTATAAATATCAGCTTAAATGTGTGCCATAATATTTTTCTATCCAGTAATCTAACAAGAGAGATGTAATGTGTAAAAATGTTCGTTCTTCTGACTAAACAGCATAGAATTACACTTAAGAAAATGTAATTCTATGCTGGATCAGTCTATAGATTTAATAAGTCATGGATCTATGGAAAATGACTTGGTCAGTCTATCAACTGCATATAAAAATGCAATTGTGAAGATATGTCAGAATTATCTCAAATTCTTTGAATGAACAGAAAAGTTCATTTGAGAGAGAATCTTTAACACAAAATTTACTAAAATTTTTTGGAAATATATACCTTTCTTGCTTTTTCTAGCAAATTTTTTTAATTAAATTAAATGAACTAACATTTTCAGCCATCTTAAATAGCCTTCTTCAGATTAAACATAATTTGGAATATCCCTCTTAAGACCTGATGAAGGCTATTTAAGATAGCTGAAAATGTTAGTTCATTAAATTAAATAAAAAATTTGCTAGAAAAAGTGAGAAAAGTGTTTTGCAATAATATATTGAAGTTCTAGCTTACTGCTCATAGAATTTTTGGAAATGATTGATTTTAATTCAGAACTGATGCATGCAGGAGGAATCAAGAGGATCTCAAGGTTTTCATCAAGAAACCTACAAAAGGAAAGATGATATATTTATAAAGTATTGAAAATATTTATTAAGTTGCATTAGTGAAAGAACATTCTGTACTCTTTGTTGTATAAAAACTTACTTTAAAATATTACAAACCAAAATCAATTAAATGGACAATTACTGTATTAAATATACATCAAGAAATTGAAGTCACTTTGAAGTTATTTGAAATTAAAGAAAAATGGAAGTTTGGTTCTTCAATAAATAATGCAGTTTCCAAAATGGAAAGTAATGAAAAGTTTTGATAGGAAAATGAAAAGAAAGTTTTGATAGTTAGCAAACAATTCAATTAAATTATAAATAACTTTGAAGAGACTGAATAAACAAGACTATAAAAATTACTTTCATAATTGGAAAATAATTATTGTATTAAATAGAAACTGTACAGTATTATTTTAAAAAATATATTAATATTAGTTTCATTGAGAAAATTAACTTTTTTCTCTTTTTTAAGTATTCTTGGAAAATAATGTACACTCCTTATGTGTTATCTGTATTGCAAGGATTGTTTGGATACTCTGAAGTAAATCAGAATGGAATGAATTTAAATGGAAAATATGCCAAAAATTGTTTTGTTTTTAAACATAATTGTTATAACATTAACTCATTCATTAAGTAATGGTTGTGTTAATGAGTAGATTTATAACATAATTCAAAGAATTTATACATAAGAGATTCATTTGATTACCTGATAATTAATCTAATAATTTAGAATATTTTAATAAATTAACATTATTATTATTATTATTATACAAAATAATTTAGATCAGTGATACCCAGCCCACAAACATATATATGACACATCATTTATAAATGATAGAGTAGGTGTATTTTTAGTATATATGGAATAAATGAAATATTTTTAATCAAGGCCGAATGATTGCTGAATTACATTGGACTGTATTAATGCTACTAATTAAACAGAGATTGGACAGATGTCTGGATAGCATAACTAACAATGTGTCTGCACGGTAAGTGGGAATTATTGGTTCAAGTCCCATTCTGGGCCAATTCTTTTCTTCCAGAACATTCTAATTTAATTATAATTTTTAAATTTATCAAGAGATGGCACCCCCAACACCTATCTCTAAGCCAAATTACTTGACATGTAATTAACAATTAGTAGCATTAATATAGTTTGGTATAATCTGGCAATCGTTTGGCTTTAATCTAAAATTTGGTTTGTAGATGTTTATATTAGCATAGTTTTGTTTTAATGGTTATATACAGTAAAAAGTTTTAATGTAAAAATGTGTTAAATACAATGGTTTACTGATCTTTATACAAATACTAGCAATACGCCATTGAATTTCAATAGGATTTTTTAAATAAATGTTTTTAGTGTATTTTGTTTTCATATGTATGGATGTAAGGGTTTGTATTGTATTGTTGTTGCTTTAATTTCAGTTATTGATCAATATTTAATTAGTGAACCACAAATCACATCATACTCTACCACCATATTTAAGTATGAAAATCAAACCACGATGTAAATGATGTTCTATCAACTGGTGGTCTATCATTTCCTGTGTGCCATAGAATGGAATGCCTTATTTATTATAATGTTCTGTATAATGAGGCTATTATTTAACCTGTCTGTATTTGATGATATATTTTTATTATTATAAATGTATAATTTGTAAGCATAATTAAAAAAAAGTTGTAAAATAAGAAAACCACTAGGGTTGCCAATGAACAGTTTGATGAGTTTAAAACACCTACTTCCAATGTCAATTGTTATGAGAATTGTCCATTTTTTGTTGGTTAAGTAGGATTGTTCAATTCCCACTTCAGAATAATTCTATCATTTTACATGATATAAACATTTTATCATGTAAAATGATAAAAGATGGGGAGAGAAGATGAAATTAGAATTGGATGAAATCATGTAACAAATTCGATTGAAGGTAGAAATCTTTTTAATATTGCAGAAACAACTGTCTGATTTTAAATGTGAGCAGGGAAAATTAACTTTATATTTAAAAAGATATATTATTTTAAAAACTTTGTTAAAAATGAACAATAGATGGCACCGACATTGGCATTACAGATTCAGTGTGATCACTTTCGTGTCACAGACTGTGTTGCCAACTCATTTTTATGTATATGCTGTAATCCTGTGTTGGGATAAAAGCTTAAAATCACTCAAGTGCTGTGAGTAGTCGTGCCAAATGTTCGGTATTGTTATATCTTCTGAACCAAATGATCACCATAATTAATCTGACTAATTAAGTGCTATATTAATGATTAATTATTAAGTACTGTAATTTGGTACTTGAGGTAAGTGTTAGGTGCCATGGTTGCTTGCCAAGGATGGTTATATCGATAATTAAATATGTCTGAAAAGCAAGTAATTGCTTGGAGGTCCAGGTAGCATAACTGGCAATGCATTCATTTGCATGGTAAGCGAGAGTTGCAGGTTCAAGTTCCACTCTGGGTCGATTCTTTTCTTCTAGAATATTCTAAATTAATTTATTGAATTCTAATTATTAAACTTAATACAAGATAGCAACTTAATTGCTTAATTTTAGTTCAAATTACTTCATATCTATATATTTAATTTGCCAAGTTATGACCCGATATATCTGACATTATTGTTTGTTTATTGGAAATATGAGTTTATTCTATTAATACTCACTTTAGATCAAGATTATAATTGATTGTTGAATTTATTTCCAATGAGTTTTTAAAAATTTAATTTTAAAATAAGATATAAATAATGGTATATGCAATAGAAAATGAATGTATATAGAGAGATTTTTCAAGTAAATTTTTTATTTTATCTATTAGAATTGGGATTTTATATTTCTAAAGGTCATTCTACTTCAATTTAATACAAAATTCTAAAACATATGTAAGTTATATTTATTATAATTATATGAATTTAATGTGTTTTTTGTTTTATTTACAGGTTACAGCCTGTTGCTGCTTATTTTTGGCTGGTAAAGTAGAAGAAACACCCAAAAAATGTAAAGACATTATTAAAACAGCCAGAATTCTTCTCACTGATCAACAGTTTACACAATTTGGAGATGATCCAAAAGTAATTTGAAGCATGTAGATTATACATATTAAAACATTAATGTTCATTACTTTAGACATTAATGATTTAGTGCATGTATTATTATTATTTTAAAATGAATTTTCACTTAATTGAATACAATATAACTGATTATAATTAATGAATGGAAGTAAATCTATTTAATTTAATATCTATTTTTAATTCAGGAAGAAGTGATGACATTGGAAAGAATCCTTTTGCAGACAATAAAATTTGATTTACAAGTGGATCATCCATACGGATATTTACTTAAATATGCAAAGTCATTAAGAGGTCTGTAAAATTAGCAACATTCCTCTCTAAAATATAAAGTTCTTCAAATTCAGACTAGAATTTAGTTCTAATAACTTGTTTAAAAAAATGTTTTAGAAGTTAACTTTGATATCTGAGGTAAAATAGTTTAAATAAGTTATTAACTAAATTATTAAATTCAGTATCAGCTGTAAAAAGAACTTAAATGTTAAATATTGTCTGAGAAAATTTAAGCATTATTTAATTTAGAAATTCTAAATCCTAAAATTTGGACATGACATAATACAGATTTGTATGAATTGTAGAGAATTAATAAACAATGATCATCATATTTAGCAATTTTATTGTAAACAATGCATTCTTTAGGTGATAGAGCTAAATTGCAAAAGCTTGTTCAAATGGCCTGGACATTTATAAATGATAGGTAAGTTTCATAATAAATTGGAATATATTACTGGTAATAAATTATGAATACATTTATTTATTCATTTAATTTTAAAATTTCAGTTTATGCACAACATTATGTTTACAATGGGAGCCCGAAATAATTGGCATAGCATTAATGTACCTAGCAGGGAAACTCTCCAAGTTTGAAGTTAACGATTGGAATGGACGTACATCCAAGCATAATTATTGGTGGGACATGTTTGTGGACAATATGAGCATAGAATTTCTTGAAGGTAAGTATATGGATTATTTAAAATTTTATTAAAATGGAATGTATTTTTCAGTCAAGTTTTGATATCAAAAATATTTAATAGTTGTTGATATGTAATTTTTCATTTTGAAAAATTACATATCAACAACTATTAAATAATACATTTACAACTATTAAAATAATACATTTTTGAGGACGTGAATAATTTACCAATTTAAAATTTTATGTACAGTACAAGACCACATATATGACAGAGGCTTCATAAGATTATAATGGAGCTGAAAAATTCTTAGCTGACTGTATCTTTCCTATGCTTAAATATCTTTAGATACATGAAAACTTATCATAAAGTTTACTTCTTTCATAGCTTTTATTGGAGATATGAAAATGTCTTGAAATGAAGCTTATAAATAGGAATTGAATAAACAAATATATCCATTAGAGCATCTAAATTTCCAAAATCGTTTTAGAATAAGATCATTCTATGACAACTTAAAAATAGCTTTTATTGGTATTACTTACAGAAACAAACATCTGTACAATTACTGTATTTTCTCAATTAAACCCTAGGAGATATATTTTTAAAACATATGTATCCTTTGGGGTTTATTTTGAAGACCCAGTGTTTATTTACAACTGGACAAAAATTGCAGCAAATATCTTAATTACCAATACATTTTCCAAACTATCAAAACCATGCATTTTTTATATTTATGGGTTACAGCTATAACATTTGAAATAAATTCTGTATCATAGTTAACCTAATTCAGTGTCTTCTAATTTGGTTATTATGTCTGCATCAATATCATTGTAGAAATCAAGATATTGACTACCATCTTCTAGTTCAAACTTGCCATCTCTTTCCAAAAGAGATGGCAAATTTGAACTAGAGTTTGCTGATAATCCTACTTATGAACTCTATTGTGACTTTCCCAAGCTCAGTATTTGGCAATACTGTATTTAATTTTCTTTCAAAAAAATTTTTCTGTGCACCTTGGAATAGAAAGTGCTATCTGACTGTAGACAATTTGAAGTTGTAGAATTTTAGTTAAACTCTTTTCCTGTTACTCTAAACTATATTACTCTAAGCAACATGTTTTCCACATTTCAACCCAGGTTTATTTTTAACAGCACCTTTATTCTCTGGGGTTTAATTGAGGAAATGCAGTGTCTTAATAAATTTTGTAAAGAAGTATAGAATACTTTTTGAAATTTATAACTGCAGAAATGTATGTACAGGTAACCCTCGTATAACACGGCACTTCTTTAGCACGGATTCACTCTAACACGGTTCGAGAATTGGTACCATCCCCCGTACAACACGATACTTTTATAGCACGGATTCACTCGGACACGGTTCGAGAAGGGTAAAACCCTCGTACAACATGAAATGTAATAAAATTTTACATACTTAAGTACTAATAGTTCACGAAAATAATAATTTTCGTGAACTATTAGTACTTCAGTGTGTAATTTTTCTTTTCTTGTCTTCATACACATGGTCCTTCACGAAAATTGTTTCAATTTTGCTAGATCTCGACGCTTCTGCTTCTGGTGTTGCCAGATGTTTTTCCCTTATTCCATAAGTGCTTAGCACCATATAACGAAATTTATAAAGATCTTTTAACTAGAAGCAAGCAATCTAAAATTACATACACTTTTTGCAAAAGGTAAAGCATGAATCTGAAAATAATGCAGAAAAATGCTTAGAGGATAAGGATAACTTGCCAAAAATAAAACGCTCTCGGTTAATAGTGCTTTTAGTGATGACAAAGAAAACATTGTTTAATTTATATCAATATGTATCACTTAAGAAAATTTTAATAAAGATTATGAAAATATAGTAGCATGTTTTTTAATTTTTGGAACCTAACCCTCCTTTTCGTACTAGTTCTTTGTTTCACATAACACGGCAATTTTTTTGAACGTAACTACCGTGTTATACGAGGGTTACCTGTATATTGTAATACAGTAATATATAATATTTCACAGATTTCTGCTGTAATAACTCAACTGACTAAAGTTAGCTTATATTTAGGCTACAGTAAATGTAAATGAAAGATTAAACAATATAATTTGGTCTACTGTTAGGCTGCCATCTTGTGCTGTTTAATAATTACTAATTAAATTAATCAATTTAGAAGATTCTGGGTGAAAAGATTGACCCAGAGTGGGACTTAATCCCACAACTTTATATATTAGTTAGGACATTATCAGTTATGCTACCTTGACCTTCATCCAATCTTCTTGTTCAGATTTGATCAGGTTAGATTTTATAATTGTACAGGTCAGTTGTTACATTTTATGTTTTAATATTTTAAGTTATAGAATAGAAATTTTCAAATTTCTGCTTTCTAGCTGAGTTTTTTTTTTTTTCAGATATCTGTCATCAAGTTTTAGATTTATATTCAACACCTATACCTAGTACTCCACAAGATTCACCTCCTACTACTCCTCCTCCAAAAATAAGACGTACTGCACCAGCACAAAAGAGTGTATGAATTATATTAGACATATATAATATAGTTTGTATGATATTTATCTGTTTCCTTTCATTTTTGTCTGTTAATTGAAACAAATAGTATAATGTAAAAGTATTTGTTGCTTATATATTTTATTTAAAATGTTCTTGATATATTTAAATATCAATTATTATAGTTATTGTTGAAGTTATTTTTAAAAACATCAACTTTGTCATTTTTTTCCAGTCGCCATCATCACCAGCAATATCGACTACTCCCCCTTGTCAGGCAAAGATAAAAGAACAACAATCTTCTACTAAAACAACACCAGCTGTTGAAACTGAAACACTTACTAACATTGCTGCACCTGTAACATCAGCTCCAACTACTCCCGTTACTCCAAAACCAATTACGACTACTACTACACTGCCGCCTGTTCCTCCGGTACCGCCGCCTAATGTAACCCTACCTTCTGCTACCGTAGATCCTCCATTACCAGCTCCACAAACTGCTGCAAATGTACCTTCATTTACTTTTAATCAAGCTCCTCCTCCAGATACTACCGATACTTATAGAGCAGATTATCCTCCCAAACCAGAATCCCAATATAATCCAGAACAAGAACAAAATTTTAATAAGGAACGAGTTCATTTTGGTGGTTTTGAAACTTTGCAGTCCTCTCCAGTTGTTCCTGCACAGGTAAAACCTCACACTCCAGTTCCACCCATCAGTCAGAATTTTTCTGGACCACATAATTCGGCATATCCACCACCTTATCCACCACCTACAGAAAAGTCAGGTAATCCATCAACTATGCCATACTATTCGAGTAATGTTCCACCTGCGGGTTCTCAGTTTCCACATACTCCATACACTCAACCACTGCCGCCATATTTTCGACCACCTGAACCTCAAGATCAATTTTATGGTCCTCCCATGAGACATTCATCGACTCAACAGGCATCGTTCAGAACAGCTCAAAATCCACCTATGCAGTGCGGACCGATGCACCATCCGAATCAGACCCCACCAATTTCTCAACCACAGCCATCGCAGGGTCCACCACCTCCAGTTCCTCCACATCAGTTTCAGGATTCTTTTCGTGGATCGAACCAGTACCGCGGAGCAGGCCCGCCACCTCCACCTCATCCTCCGCTTCCGTCGTATCCGCCCCATCGCGGTCCCATGCCACCGGAACCACATTCCGGCATTCCGAGTCACGGACCTCCGGTCAATCGCATTCCTCCTCCTCCGCCACCACCTCCCACTCTGGCCCAAGTGTTCGGCTACGGCGCCCACACACAAATAGGACCGAACCCCCAGCATCGGACGTCTCCAACCGCAACATCGCTGCCACCGGTCAGAATAACCGGAAGATTTTAGAAAGTAATTTTATAAAAGACAATTTAAACAAGTGCTAAAAGTGTTGTACAGAAATACATTATTGTATTGTTTTTTCCATTAGTGTTTGTATCTTAATCATTTCCAATAAAACAATTTATATAAATAAAATTTGATATTTTATTTATGTAGCTGTTAAATTTTCAAAAGATATAAACCAACATAACAAACATAATTCATTATACAGTATATATATGTATATATATTAATAATATATGCATAAATTAATTTTTAAAATTTACAAAAGAGTTAAAAAGTAGTTGGTACACAACAAAGAATCTCACACACACAACATAAGCTGCAAGGAAATAAATAAATAAATAAAAACTCTGGGTACCATTTATTAATATTTTTAACAATATTATATTTGTTGTAAGCACTCGAAAGGGGATTTATTAATGACAACTATTCCCATTTTGGGATAGAAACAGTTTACTAAGCTCTTGTTTTCTTCAAACATTATAACTTAGATAAATTTTTCCACGATGAATAATTATGTAAATTCTAAAATATAGTAAAATATATTAACAAATTTCAAGTATTATTATTATTAACACCTGTTATTATTAACATCACAACTGTGCAAGCTGTATATAATTTCTATAATCTATATTCGTGTCATGTAACAATTTCTTTTATGTTTAGCAAAATCATAAAAATCAAAAACTCTTTATCATTCTTAATAAGAAACTAATCTATGAGTCATCTTTCAAAGATAGAAGTTTTTTAAAGGACTATTTCTGATGATCCTAACTTGTTTTTTTATATATTTTAATACATGTAGAGAGATGAACAACAATAATTATTATTACATTTTCATTCCTTACACATGGGAGGATTGACGTAACCAAAGTAGTTAAATTCGATCATACTAGAAATAATCAGGAAGACAACATATACAGATAGTAACAATATTCCTAGACGTTTTGTTAATTGCCACTGGCTCAGATATACTCCACCCACCTGGAAATAAAGGAAAATTTAGGAACTTTGAGTTTCCATTAACGTTTTGGTTTTAAAAATAGGAATTTTAGTGAGTTTTTATGCTTAAAAATGGGCTTAAATCTACTCGTTATTAGCTGGTTTCATTGTTAATAAGCCTAAGAGTGATGCAGAATGGATAAACTAAGTAATAAGTCGCGGGTTTGTGCCTCACCAACGGCTGGCAGCGTATTTTCCGGGTTTTCTTCGCACATTACTTGCAGTTTCCTGTAGAAATGCCATCATCCCCCTTGCCAGATTGTCTTGGTGTAGTGTTTCTTCCTATGAAGCCATTAATTATAAAATCGGCTTGAGCGGGACAATTATTGCGAATATTCTTGAAAAATGTAAAAATAATGTCCGTTGTTTTAATTTTTTGTCATTTTGATTTACGCGATTTAAATTTAATTTCGCTGCTAAGAATGATTGCATAAATGTAAAATACCAATTTAATAATTAACTAATTCAGTAAAATTTACTTAAGTCCGGCTTATTTCGGGCCATGCACCGATTCGTTTCCCCTCTCTTTCCGTCCTATGGGCACTAAGAGGGCCTCTTTTAGCAAGCCCAATATGGGTTCGGACAGGACCATAATAGAGCAGCCGGGTGGTGAGGGGCCATCCCAAAAATTCGCGGGTTTTTCAGACCATCCGGATTCGAACTCTGGAGAGGTAGTCTGCCACCTTAACCTCTCGACAATCGAAAATAATAAACGTTTTAATTAAAAAGGACTGCTTTCCCCATAATTTGGGGAGAGCAGTCCTTAGAAAGAATTTTAAGAAAGTAGTCCTTAGAATATGGGAAGAATAGCCCTTACAGAAAGAGTATGGATAGAGCAGTCATTAGACAGAATATGGTGAGATTTTTATCCTTTTTTTTTTAATATAATTTCTGTATTTTTGTATCTTAATCTCTAGAATTTACTTAAAGAATATTTTACTTACCGTAACGATGATCGTAAGAAATAAAAGTATAACAGAGTAAACCATTCCGCTACTGTTGATAGTTGCCTAAAAAAGAAAGGCTAAAATGATTAAATCATCCTTCAGATATTTGAAAAAAATAATCGATATTAACCACTTACAACATCTCCAGGATTTATCATGGCCGTGTATATAAACCAGGGAACGGCCAAACCCACTAAGATATCAAAGACATTACTGCCGATACTGTTTGATACCGCCATGTCACCTTGACCTACAATAAAATAATATAATTTTCATTTTAATAGTCTTTTCTTAATTCAATTTTGCCAATTTCTAAAGTGAATTTAAACTTTGTATAAAATTAAATATGGCGGCCGGATATGAAATTTGACATTGTGAAGGTTCCGAGTACGAAAACGTAGGAAATTCAATTTTAAATGATGAATTATTCAGAAACAACGTATTTTATTTAGTCAGAATGAGTTATTTTAAAGTAAATTGAATAAAGGAAACGTAAATATATTCAAATTAGTTAAGCGTGTAAGCCCGTATTAAAGAAGAAAATTTCGAATTTTTAATGTCTGAAATTGCCCGTTTTAGCCAATAGGATCGCACCGAGTCGGTGACGTTTTCTTCCCATCGTTCAATGGGAAACGGGCTGCATAAAATCGAGACACGTGACACGAATCGATGTTTGGCACGTGTTTCGTCATCTGCTTGAAAGATGACCTTACCGCGTTCGTGTCGTCATCAATAACCGCGTATGTTCTTAATTAAATTACAGAATATATTTAATTATTAATATGTTACACGTTAAAATCTCGTATGAAACGCCAAGTAGAGATGATGTTCCCTTTACGTCATTTATAGCTTACGTACTACTGATGTAACCGTACGTCACTCACCCTGTCTTGCTACCAAAAGACTGGCAAATGCGTCTGGTACACTTGTACCGGCTGCTAGAAAGGTGATTCCCATAATGCTGTCCGGTATTCCCAAGGTATAACCTAGTAAAGTCACCTGAAAGTAATAAAAAATAAGAATATTATTAATTTGGTGTCGTTTCTTGCATGTAACGTCTTAAGATGGCAGTCGAACCTGTGGACAACGGTCACCGACAGAAACATAAAATATGGCCGTTGTTCAGAGGTGACCGTTACTTGGAAGTTCGGCTGTACCACGGTTGATCTTAGAATTGCACTTAACGGAAATTATAAAAGGTTTTAAGTACAGTCGAACCTGTATACAACGGCCACTGATCGGAACATAAAAAAATGGCCATTATTGCAGGTTAGACCTTATCTTACACTTGCACATAACGTCTTAATACGGTTAAGAAAACAGAAATTCGTAAAATAATTTATGTACTGTACAGTCGAACCTGTGACAAACGGCCACTGTCAGAAACACTTAAAAAATGGTCGTAAAAGGTTCGACCGTACTACGAATTTATCTCAGACTTGCACATAACGTCTCAAGATGGTTTCGAAAACGGGTGTTATACAGAACTTATATACAGTCGAACCTAACATCGACGGACACATAAAAAATGGCCGCTGTTAGGAGGTTGCCGTTATCGGAATTTCGACTGCATCTAGAAAAAAACATGCTTACCATCCACACCATGACGTAAGAGAAAACGGCCGTCCACACAATAGACATGAGAAATGATACCATAAACCAATTCTTCCATCTACTCTTTCTGCAATCCGGAATAGTGTAATAAAGAACGGCTAAAACAGGTGCTTTGATGATCCATTTTAATATTACTGCCAACCCTTCACCTAAAAAAAAAAAAAACCAATGATATCGATTATAAGCAAAATCATGTTCTACTTTTTCATTACTCCATACTTTTTCTGTTATCTTTATGGCTAACATTAGTATTGATCGCGGAAGAAAAATTGAGGTCATTGCGCCATTATAAACGTTAGACAAATATACCAAAATACTAATTTCGATCTCGATGATGACGTTTCGTCCCCCCCCCCCGCCACACGCCAGCGATATTTGTCTCGATACTTTCTTCAAATTATACAATGGTTAGCCCCGAGCCACCTGGTGATAGAGTTTTTCACTGGATAAGAATAAGAAATTTAAATTGATTCTACCTTGCTTCTGGCATTAGTAACATTTAAAGAAGAATGATAATGATTCAGTTACGGGGAAAAAAAAAAGATAACTAAATTAAGTGGAGGGGGGATAAAATTTCATTACATCGAACTTTTATTACGTCATCCGATAAGAGTCTCGAATTTAAAAATTCATTAAGGGGCGCTTTATTGCCTTTAATCTCCTTTAAAATTTATCATCCCCATCATCATCATCATCGTCGCAATATAATAAACCGCGTTCCGGTTACAGTATCAATTTCCTGTATTGTAAAGAATGTAAAAAATTCTATTGAATTGTCCGTACGCCATTTTGGCTCGGAGCCAGTACGGAACCGAACACTGCGGATATTTTGGCACAAAATTGTGTAGAACGGTGTTAAAAATGGAATTCGGCCTAGTTATACTTGGACTTTTCGGTTTAATTAATCGTGAAAAGAAAGGAAAAAAAAGATACTTGACACTTATTTAAAATGCCAAAGAAAAATTACTTGGGGATGGTATTCTTTTCCATTCATCTTCTGTGGAAATAACTACGCTGGCACTGAAAATACAGTTATTTTTAAGCCAAAAACAGTTTATATATATTTTTAAATTACATAATAAACATACCTGATGATGCTCTTACTTCTCCATCTTGGCACGTTACCCCCGCCTCCACCATCCATAGATAATTGCGGTTGCATTTTCTGAGGTGCATTTCTTGCCGCTTGGTTCTATAGAAAAAAGAAAACAGATGACTCTATGTTACTACAATGGAGTAAATTACTGCCTCTCCTACTGGCAGATGATAATAAGATTTTAAATTAAGTATAGATAACCTACAGGATATCCCCTAGTTGGATTTTCCTGCACTGATTTCCTCGTACGACAAGAAAACAATGAAGTTAACATGAATCGATACCGGGAGATGGGAAGCTGGATAAGGAAGACTCCACTCATCAATCAGTTTTCTGATAACTGAATGTAACCTATTTGCTGATATTTCAGTCAGCTTCCATTTCTGATTCGGTTAACCGACTTCAGTTACTGGTTGTTTAACTAAACTAAACCTTCTGTTAATTTCCTGTTTGTGCTTTAATTGCCAGTTCTTTGATTAACTTAAGTATAAAAGCCTTTCTAGACACAATAACATAGTTTAATTAAGGTTACGTTTGATTTAATTACATTATCGACACGGGATTTTAATTGGTTATTTCGGTTTTGTTGTGTTATCTTTGTTTTTTTTTTAAATAATTAGGGCAGTTAACTGTGGTTTTACGTGAAATTTACGGTGTTTTCCTTTAATTTTAATCAGTTTTAACGGTTATATTTGTTTCAACTTGATTTGATTTTTGATTGTTTCGATGTTTTTAAGGTTTCGGTACTTGTTTCTGATGGTTACAAATAAAATTAACTATCGTCACTCGTCAGTCGAGAGATATATGTTAATTTAATGTATTTTAATTAGCATTGTTTAGTTGTTTGTATTTAATTTGATTAAACTTTGTTTAATCGGCCTGTAGACGTACAGACTGGTAAAGGCGTCATTCTGACGCTCTGGGGGAAGAGAATCCGCGCTCGAGTCCGGGTCATCTCATAAATTTTCGCGAACGAATCGATTCGAATCTATTGGATACCTTCTCCCGTTGTATAGCTTTGGTTTATTCGTTTACGGCAAAGTGATACGTGGGCGATCTACCGAGGGGGGATGCTTCCGAGAGGATTTTCTATGGAAAACTGGCCCCTATTTAGGTGTTACTAACGTGAAGAAAACCGGAAAACTCCACGTGACCAGCCCGTTTGCCAGGCGCAAATCCACGACCACCAGCATCAGTGGTTTTATCCACACGGCTACCGATGGGCTCTCGTTGTGGGAGAACCCATCATTGGCAGAGTGGATAAAATGTCCGAACTCGCGATAGGAATGAAGTAAGGACCTCCTTTGCAAACCACTGTACATGATCGCGGATCCGCGCCTCATTAACGGGCTGACCACGTGAAATTTTCTGGGTTTTCTTCACGTGTCTAAAATATAAATAAGGGTCAGTCCTCTACCTTGTCAGATCGCCCATATTGTGCGTTACCTTAGCGCCTCACAGGGAAAGATTTTTTTAGCAGATGTCACTTAAAAAAGTATATCATAGTTTACGTTTAATTAATTTATGACTCCAAACAGAACCGAAAAGTTACACTATAAATTACCGAACTTATTCCTTTCTTCGTCGTCTCGATATTACTCAAGAGAATTGTCCATAAGTTACGTAACGCAGATACGAGTGTGTACGCAGCTAATCGTTACAATGCGTTACAAGGGGTGGTACATTTACAAAAACGTAAGGTAATGATAGGGTTTTAACCCCTGGGTAACAATAGCATCGAACACTGTTTTGTATTATTCTTTAGTACAATTAAGGGGATCGATCGAGGATGTACATTACGTAATTTTGATAGTGGGTATGTGAGACGGCGTTACGTAATGTACGAAAGCTTCCACAGTAGAAACCATAATGAAAACGAACTAAGCTTAATTGATTTCGAAGTTAGTTATGTTTAAAGCTTAAATTTGATTAGAAACTAAACAGAAGAATCAATTAAGTGGCGTTTTAATCGATTCCCGTTTTCCCAGAAGTCAATTAAACACGAATTATATTTAAGTACGTATGCTTTAACTTTGTTGTTCATTGAGTTTGTTATTTCGATTTAATTGTCTGCACATAAATGAACGCAATGAACATTCGGACGATCTGATTGGTTCGTTTCTTTGTATACGTCAAACTAGTGTTTCCGGATAACAGAATTCTTTTGTTACGTAAGACATAAAATTTGAATAGCATTAATTAGCGTTTTATGAACATATTTAAAGGATTTAACTGATTACAAGCGATAACGCGCCTTTAATTATCTTAATGAAGTATTTTATTAACACCTGCAATATAATTCGTCGTGCAGCCGCTCGGAATCGTGTTAGAGGAGGAAAATATCGTGTCATCAACATCATCTGTCCGGCTTCGAAAAATGTCAAGCTGAAAGCAAAAAAATATATATATACATTTTTATTAGAGATTTATTAAAATAAATTTAAACAAGAGCTTAAAATTTGCGTTAAAAATAGTCACAGACTTTATTACAAAATATAACGTTTACAATTTAAAACTTTAAATCATTTATTATATATAAATCCCATTAAAGGATGTCATAATCATCGGAGCGTGCACCAGTCGACGTCCGGATCATTAAGTAACGAATGCGATATTTTTCAACGAAATAATTCTTTATATTTAACATTTACTTTTTATAATTATTAAATTCCGAGGAATAATTTATAAATTTAAAAATTTTCTCGTGAAAAATTCATAATTATATTACTTACCGTTTTTTAACAAGTCTAACGTTATCGGCGGCCATTGTAGGTTGTGACGTAATTGTCGTTTGGGCACATTCGTCGATTTCATTATTAAATGGAACTATTAAATATTAAAATTAAATTAAATTATATATCTTAAAATTTAAAAATATACACATGCCCAGTATAAAATTATTTAATTAAAATTGATGAGATCGAGAAAGAGAATGCGGGATATTAATGGAAATGCTAACAGCGATTGGTAAATAATCAAAATGAATCGACACGATAGTCGGGAAGAAAATGGATAAAAAACACGTAATTATTTTGTTACAATTATAAATCTTATTCGAATTCTACGCTAATTTTAAAAGTCCCATACTGAATTTTTTTCTACCAATCAGCAATTTTTAAAATTAGAAAATGAAGAATGGTAGTGTCACGTTGTTAATGGCCAGTAATAGCAATTTCGAATTTCTACTTTCTAAAATTGATATTTTAATGGTTCGTATGATTAATGAATTTTGCAAATCTTTTCAATTTAAATTTATTTTAATTTTATTTCATTACTTTCCTTTATTTGGTTCATAATTACGATGATAAAAATAATGGTTTCGTCTAGGTTATGAGAAACGATGTATGTCATTGGCTCGCTTACTTAGATTCTAAGTAATCAAGCCAATGAGGAAACTTATTCTCATCGCCCTCTAATGGTCATACCTGAAAACACGAAATGCAATTTTATATTGGAAATTTGCATATTAGGCTATATATACAGTGAAATTTGTGTAAACCGAAATCGCATGGTACTGAATATTTTTCCAGTTAGGTTCTGTTTTGGAAAGGTTTTACAGTATATTAGTATATATATACACGTGTGTGTCTGTGTATATTCAACATTAACTTTTATTTATTTTTTTATTTTAAACTTTATAACTCGAGCACATAATTCGCACGCTGTACGAAAACAATGTAAATTCTGAAAAAGAGATTTGAATTTTAAAAGGGTAGAAGACTGCATTAAAAATAACCTAATCTTGCCAGAATAAAATAATCATGAATTTCATAGTTTGTACCTCCCGCCAGGCCGAAAAGGAATCAATAAAAGAACGAAAGACTATAGAACTCTATTCGACTTTTTACAAGTGAGTTGGATGAAGCAAGTGCCAAATTAATTGTAAAGTAAGCAAACTTTTTCCTTATCCTACAAAAAAAAAAAAAATATTTTGATACGTACAAGTCGACTCCCCTATAACACTGTTGATAATTCCGTTTTATATGAATTCCATGCTGTACGAGTCACTTAAATTTTACAAATACGTGAGCCATTCACAGCCCGGCACATGTATTTGTAAAATCTAAGTGACTCGTACAGCATGGAATTCATATAAAACGGAATTATCAACAGTGTTATAGGGGGGTCGACTGTATTTCGATTTTTTAACCAAATGTTCGAACAGTTTTAAATTCTAATTTGTTATTGCATATTGGTTCGATTTTAGAACGATTGTAAATGTTCCAGAAAATTGATCAAATTGAAAATAGTTCGTTTGATTCTCAGTAATTCTCATTCTCGGCGATAGGTGTTATATAACAAGATAAAATAATTACTATGGTTGTTGAAATACTGAATATAAATAGTGTTTGCTTGCAAAATCCGCGCGGGATAAGTAGCGGGTAACAGCTAGTAATACAATAAATGTGAATTATGATGAATGTAAAGCGAGATAACTACATTTTAACAAAGAAATACTATATTTGGTAGCAGCACAGCACAAAATAAGTAGGCTACACCGGAGACCAAGTGGATAACACTATTGATAGTGTGGAGTTTTTGTGTTTCTTCACGTATCTAACACCTGAATGTGGCCAGTTTCCAATAGAAAGTTCTCTCGGGAGGATTCCTCCCTTGGCAAACTGCCTTATCCCATCAAACCAGCCCAAACACGAGATGTATCCTTTTTAAAACAACTTCGTTTCGCAGTGGCGCGTTATAGCTTCGGGTGCAGTAAAATTTGAATTAGAGGTTGACTTCAGACATTTTTTTTCGAGGGAACTTTTTGGGGAAATGTTTTCTTATAAAAGATTGGTTTGGTCCCCTTTAGTGCGGGCCCCGGGCAATTGCCCTTTTTGCCCATAGGTTAACACGCCACTGTCGTTTCGTCGTGGGTTTTCTCTATTTTCTAATGGAAACAAATTTGTGGCTTTTGTCACAAGAGGAATATTTCTTCCGCAATAAAACTGCAAATTACTAAAATTCCAAATATCCAAGTTCACAATAAAATATTTTTCAATTGTCCTTACTTAGAATGTTACTTGTATTAATGGAAGCTCATGTAATAAATTAGAGTTTTAATTAACGGAGTAATTTATAATTTAAAAACTAGATTATTAAATTTTTGCTAAATTTATTTTGAAATTATGTTTTTTTTTTTTGCGAATTATTTTATTAAGTATGCTATTATTTATTAAAATACGTTTGATATGTGATAATATATTATTATATTGATTATTTTTTCTTCATTATATGAATCCATATTATTTTTCTATTATTAATGAATCTCGTATTCGAATAACACATTCCACAATTACCACGATCGTGTCACAATGCATTCGTACAATTACTTGGGATAAGTCTCGTTTATATTAGAGCATTCCTAGCAAAATATGCAGTTTACTATTGCTTGACAATATAGACTCTTACTTACATATAATCAATATAAATAACATCCAAACACTACCAGGGGATGCACCCCTTTTTCACGAGTAAAGACGGCTGTCTCAGGTAATAAAAATTTTATAAGACATATTGTTTTCTTTCTGCACCCCCGCTCTAAATATTTCTAGACCCACTACTATTGAGTACACCCCTCTAAATATTTCTGGATCCACTTTGAGTGCAACCCCTCTAAAGATTGAACTCACTATTAAATGTAACTAACTTAATTTAAATTTAAATTCAACCAATAAGGTTAACGCTTAGTACAATTCCAGCTTCCTATAGGGCAATTTAAAATTTCTAATTAAAAACTTTAAACTTTTGATACACATTAAAACTAATCGATCCAAAAATAGCCAAAAATATGATAATTAAATTAGACATTTCATTACCATAAGAGCTGTAACACTTATTGTCATGCGTTTGTGACAGAATGCCCAGAGAAGCAGTAAGTTCGTCTTCGATCCCGAGTCTTCTAGAGATCCAGAAGTGTACTTGAGTGTTGAACCTGTCGAAGAAGGTTAATTTCAAAATCAACACGTAACAGTTTATTGTCCCCCCTTAAGTTATCAAACGAAGAGAGACTCACTTCATCAATAAGATATAGAAGGCGTAGATGATTAGCATGCTTATCGATTCGTACCACGTGACGGTGCTATCATAAATAATCTAAAAAAAAAAAATAAATAAATAATCGGGACGTCAGCTGTCTCCAAAGGCTTCTTAATCAAATAATGACCCTAATACTCACAAGAATTAAGACCACTACTGTGAATGAATAAAAGACGGAATCACGGATAATTGGCCACCATGACAAATTAACTTCCTGCAAAGAAAGATTTTCTTTATTGTATGGTGAGGAATGAGAACCAGCTCATTGAATATGCAAGAAAAAAAATTTGCATTTTTCATAAAATTCTTTATAATTTGTAATTATAAAAAGATGCAGTCTACTTCTGACTTTCTAAAGAGGTCATTTGCATAAGAAAAATTAAGTTTTATGTATCAAAAAAGAAAAAAAAAAAGGAATTTACTTACTCTTCCAGAAAATATTCCGCATATTCCGATGACAAATAAAACATTAAAAACTGCAGATCCCACTATTGTCCCTGTTCCTACGTCACCTTTTGCCACGAGGACACCTTTGCAAAGAAAGATTTGAATAAATTATTAAAATACGGAAAATTACTCAATTATTTTTTTAAATATTAAAAAGAAAAAGAACGTGGAAAATGTTTAATCTTCCTGATTTCCAATTGGATAAATCTTGCTTCTTTTTCATATTTTAGTTCTCTCTACCATGTGGGCATTAGAGGACCTTTTTGCTCATGCCCATCGTGGGTTCGGTCCAAGGTCTAGAATAGGTTCGACCAGGCTCGCCGGGTGGTGAGGAAGGGGCACGAAATATCGGGACAAACCACCCCTCCCGAAAAATTCCTGGGATTGCTAGCCCAGATACGATTCCGGGTCCTCCAGAGCGTAAACTGACACCTGACAAGTCCCAGATCGTCTACGAATGTGAGTCGTCCTTTGCATGATACGTAAGATAAAACTATATAAAAATTGATATGTTGTCTTAAAGAATGATTGGCTGAAAAAATTTAAATGTACGCCTACTTCTACCGTTTTAAATATTCGTCAACCAATCATCTTTAATTAATCAGAAAGCCATTCAAACTCGATATCTTACGTATATTACAGAAGGCCGCCTGTTCACGAGAAAAGTTTATCACTATTCTAATTTTAATTATTTTTTTAAAGTAATTAAATTTACTTGAGATGAAATATACTTTAAAAACAGCATTTTTATAGATTTTTTTTGTTTAGATTTAAAATGAATTAAACGCAAAAATTATATTTCGATTAATCGTAATTTGCAGCTACATATGCTTTAAATTCCTTCTCTGGAGTATAATCACGGTTAAATTTACTGATTATACGGATAACGATTTCAAACCGTATAATTTTTCGAGGGATTTAAGTCAATGACAGAGGATGATTGCCGTATTACAGGATTATTCGTTATTTATGATCACAATGGGTTCTTTTTCTTCATCGATATCAACTTCTACACCTCCGGTGTTGTTAACCTAAATCTCTCTTGCTTATCAAGGACCACTAAGAGGGGAGCAAAACTATAAGAAAGACTTTGCTTATTAGCTTCATGGGGCCCAGGCAAATTTGAATTAAGAGGTTCGATGTGCAGTGTTGACTTCAGACAGTTTTTTTTCGGCGGAAATTTTTTTGGAGAAATATTTTCTCATAAAAGATTGGTTTCAGGCCCCTGTTGGTGGGACCTCCAGGCAATTGCCCTTTATTGCCCATAGGATAACGCATCACCGGAGCAAATTGCCCTGGGCCCCGAGGAACTTTTTCGTTTACATCCTTATTGCTAGAGCCCCTGATATGATATGCATTTTGCCGCAGGCCCGTTGACAAATGGAAGTCCCTGCTTATCAGTATTATATTGATTAATGTAGCAAAATCCACTCGTTTCTCTATTCGTGAAGTGCTGTAGAGTTTTATAAGATATTAAAGTTAATTCTAGATTTATAGGCATAATGAGGCAGCCGGGTGATGTGGGGCCCGACGTATCCAGGACAGACCATCTCCTCCAAAAATTCCTAGGCTTAACCACTATCTACGTAAATAATAAACCGTGTCCTTTTTGAAACCGTGTCCTACACGGTTTCAAAAAGAAAATCAGTAAATAATAAAATTTAGTTATGTTTATATGAAATTAGCATGAAAACCAGTCATAGAAGTATTGTGGATGTTTTCCATCGTCGTTTCTTTACTCCAAATAAATAATTTGAATAACAAATGCATAGAGTTCCCTCACTTTAACATAGCTTTAACCCATATATATATATATATATATATATATTATTATGACCCTATTCCTTATGGAACAATTTCAAGTGACGAAGCTGCAGTCACATATCACGAGAGGGATTTCCCATTGGTGCTTTTAAAAAAGACAAAGTGAGAAGTTGTCTAGCGTTATAAATCTAAAACCAGTAGCTTCCTTTCAAAGTCCCATTACCTAAAAGAAGTAAAACACAATGGTAAAGCACGATTTGCGTGTTTTAGACAGAAACAGAACGGGCAACGATTAAGAGACATCTGTTGATATGCATTATGTATTATCAAGTATAAAACGTTAAACAGTTATATACCTTTGTTCCCGTACTGATTTGTGCTTGCTACACGAAACATTCTATAAATATATAATCGATAAAACAAACAGTATATATCATATCCTACCTAAGATCGCTGTAAACAATTCCGGAGCCGAGCTGCCTGCAGCCATAAAAGTAGCACCAGCAACGTCCTCGCTCATGTCCAAACGCTGAAAAGGGAAGAATTGGTGGAAGAAAAATAAATATTTTCCAATACGAAGTAATAGGGAAATTACCTTACCGCGCAGCATTCTTCTAAGGATGCTATAAAATAATCGTCGCACACCACTGCGACTGCGTAAAACATGTAAAATACGACCAAAATGTGGACTACAATGGCTCCCCGAGATCTCTGGTAATTATTGAATAAATCGGGAGGAAATTCGTGGTATGCTGCAAAAGAATAAAAGGAAATTTTACATTTAAATCCATCGTACACAACTCGGGCGATTATAGGGCGTGTTGCAAGCCTTGAAAAGTGCTGTTAAGGTGCCTTAAACAGCACTTTTCAAGGCTTGCAACTAAAGATACAGGTTAAATATGAAAGAATAAATAGAATTTATACTTATTTTCTGTAGAAAATACTTTATTTTGATGGTTATAAAGTACTACAGCGAAGGATTTTTAAAATATGCAAAAGTCCTGCTATAAGGAATTAAAAAAAAATTCGGCAACGAGTTGTGTAACTTTCCCGGCCAAACTTTAAAATTGTGTATGGCGCCATCTGTTAGGAGATTTTATTTTATAAACTTTTTATATTATTAAGTATTATAAAATGGCAAAAATGCTTAATTTTGAGGGTAGAGATGAGTTGTATAAGAAATTGTAAACGATAATAAGTTAAACCTTGATTAATCTCGAGATCATGGCAGACGACCCTCCTCTATCTCCCCGCCCTGGACCTTTAATTAACCACCAAAATTTAATAGGATCAATGCCCCTAATACTTAAACCTCTCTGCAAAATTTCAGAAATTTTCGACACAAGACACGCGAGTTATTAAGCTACAAATTGGATGCACGAAACCCCCCAAAATTAAATTTATAATATAATAACGGGCAGTAATTTATTGTGGCATCGTCACAATGCCGGGCCTCCAGCTCCTAATCTTTCCACACGTGGTCTTGAATTTCATTTAAATAACGCAGTTCTCGAGATTAAGGAAAGACAGACGGACAGACGGACGACATTTATAGGTCTACAAATCTTTCAAATCACAGCCTAATAAGAAAAACCTGTGTAAGCCGGTATCTTTTTTATTTTATGTGTTTAGCAGGTTTTCGTTTTATTCGTGTTCCATTTTAGACAGATTTTACGGTAGTAAAACATTGGCGAATATAAAATTCTCTTATACACTTAAAACTTTCTCTGGAAAGAAAGTTAAAAGCAAAGTTTCTTTAATCAAATCATCTAAAAATTTCACGTTTTAAAGTGAAATTTATCTAATAATGTACCCCGAAAATTTCGTATACAGTCGACCTCCCCCTATAACACTGTTGATTATTCCGTTTTATATGAATTCCATGTTGTACGAGTCACTTAGATTTTACAAATACGTGAGCCGTTCACAGCCCGGCGCACGCATTTGTAAAATCTAAGTGACTCGTACAACACGGAATTCATATAAAACGGAATAATCAACAGTGTTATAGGGGGATCGTCTGTAATTTAACAAACTTTGATTGGGAAAATTTTAGGTTTGTTTTTCTTTTCTTTTGGGGTGTTTTTTTTATGTAAAAATTCGCGTAAAATTTCCAAAAAACATAAGAAAAAATAATAATAATAATAATAAGGAAAGACGAAATTTCCCCATAAAACGACGTCGTATTTAATAGGGAGAAATTTAATGGGGTGAAATAAAATTTGACGAGGTAAACTTAGTGGAGCGAAATCTGATGAGACGAGATGAGGTAAAATTTCGGAAGACATTTAATGGGATGAAATCTGATAGAGTGAAATTTAATGAGATGATATGAGGTAAAATTAAATGGAGTGAACTCTTATAAGAAGCGACGAGGTAAAATTTCACGAGATAAAATTTGATGAGGTGAAATCCCATTATAATTTGGTATTTACTCGTTTTTTTTTTTTTTATAATTTCGAAATTTCTAACATAAAACATTTTGTATTTATTCGTTTGAATTTCTTAAATATTCGTTGGAGCGAATATTTATAAACTGAAAGGAATAAATACCAAAAGTAGAAGGTTAAAACCTTTTAGCAAAATCGATCCAATATGTCAAAGTGTTAACAAACATACCCCACGGCTCGGCAGCTAACATTTTTCATATAAGACTCGAATCTTTCAATTGAATTTGGCATCGTGCCACACATCAAAATTACTAACATTCATTTTTATTGGCTTTACCTCTACCTCAATTCCTTTTTTTTTTTAATTATTATATACAAGTTACTTCTAACTTTCGTAAAAATTATAGAAAATTCCGCTGTAAACACTTGTCTTTATTTTTGTTCGATGTCTTCCGGAACCCCAAACCCGAAATTAATTTAATAAACGATGGACGTCTTGTTTATGATGTATGTTAATGCTGTCGGATCGATATTTATTGTAAGATTTGGAAATTTAATGATGTAATTCCCTTTGGTAACGTACCGGCCATTGAAAATCAATGACGGAAGGTTAAATACTGTGGTTAAATATCGCATTTTAGGGTAGATTTTAGGGTTTAGTTGCGATTTTTGAGCCGTGAAAAGTTAATGTTTTTAAGTGTTTTGCGTGTTTTCGCTTGTAAATCTTACAATAAGAGGCGTACCTGTCTAAAATTAAACCTGTACAAAACGAAAAACTTGCCTAAGCGGGAAGAATTCTTCGGATTTTGTGTTAAAAAAATTATCTGTTCGAAAAGGAAGCCTGCCAAACCCGGAAAAAATACCTTGCGATCCCGGTTTACTCTAGGTATTTTTCTATATACCCTGCAGTCCCTGTTTACGCAGGGTATTTTATCTGTTTACCCTGCATATTTCGGAACCTTGCGATCACGGTTTACGCAGGTTTTACCGTTAGAAAGAGGAAAGAGAAACAACGTTAAAGCCTCCCTCCATCAACACGATCTTTGTCCTTTTAAATTTTATATATTTCCCTAGAGAAAAGGTAGATTTTGAAAGAGGACAATAATATTTCTTACTCGCTTGGAAATGTCCTTTCCTGGTAGAAATCAATTGAAATTCAACATAAAAGGTCATGAAGTAAGAAGGAAAAAAAAACTCAAAATTCTCGAAGATTGATTGGAAAAAAGACTTAAAAGAGAGAAAGGGAGGGGAAAAAAGAACGTAAAAAATCCCTTTCATAAAAAAAAAAATCCCTCCTGGAGTTGAAAAATCTCCGTCCAAAGAGACACAGAAAGGATCCTTCTAGAACTTGATAAATTTCCAAAAAATTGATTGAAAAATCTCTTAAAATATGTAAAATTTTACCAAGAACAAAGTAAACTTTCTTTAAAAAATGCAAAATACTTTAAAAAATAAACAACATTTAAAATTAAAATCGGCATGAAAAAAAAAATCCTCGGTAGCACGAAAATCCTCAAGAGATTTTTAAAGAAATAACCGTTTCAAGTGGGCAAAAATGAAAAGAAAACACTACAAGAAGTATAAATTTTTAAAAATTTTTAATTATTTCTCTTTAATTCGATCTTAAAAATGGCAAAAAATAAGAATATTTATCTCCGGTCTCTCTTATTTTTTTTCCTACTGAATCAATAAAAATTGTATTAACAAAAGTAAACACTGTTTCAGGCAAGAGCTAGGAAACCAGAAAAGTAAAAAATTTGTAGAAAAGAAATAATGAATTATAAATATCTTAAAATTCTAAAAGATTGTTTGATGGATACGAAAACACATGTTCTCTCATAGGGAAGAAGTAGAAACCTGGATCCAAAATGGCGCCGTCTACTTGGAAAGCATCCAACTTTCGGTTTAATAATGGTAACTTAGACGTTTTTATAAAAATAAAATGGCAACTTTAAAGTAACGATGCAATTTTTGAGGAATTTGTAACGTCCGAGAAAACATAAGGTAGGTTTTTTTTTTTTTTTTGGAAGGACACGGCCAAAAACTAGAATTTTTGTTTTGCCCTCTGCGCCTTGGTACTCTTGGATTTCTCGAAGGAGATGAGCCAATTTTTTATGCCATAATGATAAATTCTTACGTCTTTATCGTATTTTGTGAAGTAAAATACTGTATTTCGGATAAACACAACAATTTGGAAGAGTTTACAAGAATACGGAAGAAAACAAAATTGTAAAAACAGTTTTTCTTTGAAAGAGATGCTCCAATTCTTGATACAATAATGATAAATTGGTACCTCTTTGTGAAGTAAAATACTACTTTTCAGACAATGGCGGAGACAGAAATCTTTAGAAGGGGTGCAGAAAAGAAACGATATGCCTTACAAAATGTTTTACTACCTGGCTTTATTCGGGGAAAACCCTCGGAAAGGTGTGCAGCTACGTCCTAGCACTCCCAATTTCTATTATGCACTCCCAATTTCTATTGTCCACTCCCAATTGCTATTATGATTCTTATAAATTTCATTAATTTCTTTTGAAATTTTTATAAATTTTGCCTACCTCTCTTACAATTCCTGTAAACTTCGTCTATTTCTCTCAAAATTCTTATAAATTTCACCAATTTTTCTTACAATTGTGGTAAATACCTCCCATTTCTCTTACAATACTTGTATTCTTCGCCCCCTTCTCTTATAATTCTTGTAAATTCTTCCAGATTGTTACTTGAAATTTGAAAGAATTCACAAGAATTACAATAGAAAGGCTATTATATTTTCGAAAGAGACGGTTAAAGAAAGGGCATCGTTTTCATTCTAAATCCGTTTCAGGTAACTTATATTACACAATAAAGGAAGGAGTGCAAGAAACACAAATTTCCGATCAAATCAAAGAGTAATTCAATCTGAGCGAATCCTCTGGAGGCAAGTCGTCAAGCAGAATGAAGTTTTTCTTTCTTTTCTCTCCTCTTATTCAATGAAGAAATGTCAGCAACCGAAGGAATCTCGGATAATAAAAGTAACCCCTTTCACTGACAACCTGACGTCTGAATTACTCACTAAATCCACAAGTACAAAAACCTTGTTAAATTACGTTTCGTTCGAATTAAAACCACCCACTAAACCTCGAGATTTGCTAATTAATCCTATTAACCTTTCTTGTTTACTTTCCCCCTGTTACGTAAAACAGGGGGAAATCAGTCAAAAAATGACTCCCCCACAAGATTTTTACAATTTTGGATTCAAGGTTTTTTTCTTTATGGGTCAAAACAACCCGAAAAGTTGGGTTTTTTTTCTGTGTGGGTAAAAAAACCCTAAAAGTTGGGGTTTTTTCTGTATGGGTTAAAAAAAACCCCTAAAAGTTGGGGTTTTTATGTATGCGTTAAAAAAACCTAAAAGTTGGGGTATTTTCTGTATGGGTTAAAAAACCCTAAAAGTTGGGTTTTTTTCTGTATGGGTTAAAAAAATCCCTAAAAGTTGGGGTTTTTTCTGTATGGGTTAAAAAAAACCCTAAAAGTTGGGGTTTTTATGTATGCGTTAAAAAAACCTAAAAGTTGGGGTTTTTTCTGTATGGGTTAAAAAACCCTAAAAGTTGGGTTTTTTTCTGTATGGGTTAAAAAAATCCCTAAAAGTTGGGTTTTTTTTCTGTATGTATTGATGTTGGTGTGGAGTGACCAATTTTCTTCACCCGCTTCGAAGATTTCTGTCGAAAATTTCTGAAATTTTTCACGGAGGTTTATATGTATTAGGATATTTAGCCCATTAAATTTTGGTGGTTAAAGGTCGAGGGGATGTGGCGATAGAGGGGGGGATCGTATGTCGTATCTGGTCGAGCGAGGTCTGTCTTAATGATTTTATTTTAAATAAAATTGGCAATAAAGAAAATCTACGAATTGGTTTATTGTTAATTTTATTGTATTGTTAAAAGTAACAATAAATTGTTTTGGTGTTAATTTTGTTTTAAAAATTGCAATAGAATTACAAACTGAACAATACAATTAGCAATTTGTTTATTGTTACTGTTTTCGTTTTTGAATTGTTCTTTTGTGTTATAAATTGTTTCGTCGTTGATTTTTGTAACAAAATTGCAGTAAACCAGCAATAAAAACCGAAATGAAAGCAAAAAATTAACAATAATAAAACAATTGATCAATTGTTTTATTGTTAAATTCAACAATAAAACAATAAAGCAACAAGAAAAATTACATTAATTAACAACAAAGTATTTTATTATTAACAATTTTAGATCCGCCATCGTCAATTAATTTTGTTAAACAATAAAACAATTGTCAAACTGCTAATTGTGTTTTTAATTTTATTGTTAAATTTTTAAATTTTATTACGATTTTTTCTTAAACAAAATTAAGAACTAAAAAAAAACGAATTAATTACAATTAATAATTAATAAAATAATAAAAATATTTATTTCGTGTCTTGCTCATTGTTAATAATAATAATAATTTAACAATAAAACAATTAAATAAATGATAAAAGCCGATAATTGTAATTAATTAATTAATTTTTTAAGCAATTATCTTTGACGGGGAAGCAATTTATCTTAGGGTGTTGATGGATTTTTCGATAGACACATTGATTACAATTTAGAACAATTGACGACTGTTAAAAAAATTAAATGTGTTGTTTGATTAATTGTTTTTTTTTCTTTTAATCATTTATTTACATCGAAACGGAAAATTGTTTTAACGATAAAATAATTTATAAAATTGATCGTCTCTGCCCTTATGACATTCGCTAAAACTCAATAATTCATTGTTATAAATACTTTATAAATTCCATTAACAATTAAAGGAAAGGAAAAACGAAGAAGAAAACTTTGGAAATTAATTAATAAATATGTTTTATAATTAATTTTTAAGTAATAAAGGCGAATAATATTGACATAAAGTTTAATTGTGATCGTGTTTTGTGAAGCCAATTTACTATTAAAGAGCTCGGAAAATCAATTAATAGATGCATTTTATGAGGTTTTAAGCATTAAAACTGTAATTTTTTACTAATATTATAAGGTTTTAAGTATCAAACTCGTAATTTTACATGAATATTATATGGTTTTAAACACCCAAACCGTAATATTTTACATCAATATTTTACGGTTTTAAGCATTAAAATGATTTCGTGAAGACAATTTACAATAAAACAGCTCAGAAAATTAATTGATAAGCATATTTTATGAGGTTTTAATGCTTAAAATCATAATTTTACATCAATATTGCACCGTCGTTAAGCATTAAAATTGCATAATATTGACATAAAGTTATTGAAGTTATCAATTGGAAGAGTTGTTTTCTTCTGAAATTATTAATAATTCACATTTAATAAATATATAAATATATTATTCACGAATAATAAATCAAGGAATAATCATATAATATTCAGGAATAATAAAATCATTCTAAAGAAGAAGATGATGCTTAAGTAATTTGTCGAAGAGAAGATAACAAGCTCCATTCTCCCCTACTTATTTATTATTTATTAACCATAAATTACCATAAATCAAGAAGGATAATGTTATTAACTTGAAGGGAATTATCTTACGTAACTAATTAATTAAAAAAAATTCCTAATTAAAAATCATTTTAATTAAGTTTTAATCGAGTTTTAAAGCGTACCTGGCGATGTGCAGAATTCTTCTTCTTCTTCGATTTCCGTGGCATTCTCGATGGCGGTTTCCGTTACGATTGTTGTTTCTGTTGACGACAATTGTTTACTTTTCGGAGTTTTATCGGGTGCCGATGATTTGATTTCATTAGGCACTGAGGTCTTTCTGTGATTTTCGTTGGAAGTTGAAGAATCGTTATCCGAATTTTGGCTGGCTTCGAGGATATGACGTATGTTGCCGCGGTAGTTTCTGATTCGTTTCTGATTGTTTTCTGCAATATTTAAAATGATAATTTCGTGTTACGACACGTAAAAATTGAGTTCCTCTGCTGCTCTACAGTAAAATTTCATTATTTTTTCTTTTATAAGCTACATTGCTCGATACGCAGCCGAATTTGAAGGATGCCTTCCACCAATCACGGCAAACTGATGATGTGAAAAACTGACAGAAAAATCAACTTACCGACGATATTTTCAATAAAATTTTATATAGAATTCACCCGAATCATCCATTCTCGTCTCATTTACTCCCCTCCTCCCATCACTGGAAATCCACGCATTAACGCATAAACCATGCAAAGAAATGATTGATTGGTGCATCCTAACCCCTCTCCGTTATCCATTATTCAACACAGCTTCACTCCCATACATAAAATTCCCCGTATCACTCTTAATCTAGTTACACACATCGTGTAACTGCCCATAGAACGTAAAGAAAGAACATTCGCGGGATTTTTTTTTTCCTCCCTGTTTAACAACCGGGTGTGGCCCCCGTCCAGCAAAAATTTCATGTTAAACGTCTACGCAATAACCATTAAACTGTTATCGATTCGTCGATGGAACACACGGTGATTAATGGAGAAACGTTAAGTTAATATATAGAATATACATATATATGGGTTTATATTCTTTAAGTGCCCATGGTCTCGTGCTACTATAAATTATTTTTACGACCTTTCCTAACAGTTTCATTGCATAAAAATCTCAATTAAATTGTAAAAAAAATAGTATACCGAGGTTGTAAAGTTCCGTTATACGGAGGTAATGAATTCTACATCACTTTTATAACGTTACGTAAAGAATTTAACGACATTTTCAGGCCTCAGTTAATGTTACACGCATGTATACGTGCAGAATTTTATGTAGTAATGCGCATAAAATCGTTTTTTTATTCCAAGAAAAGCATTAAATTACGTAGCTAAACAAGCTGCAGCTTAGGGCCTCGAGTTTCGAGTGTGTAACTTAAAGTCTCACGAGGGCCTGTTATATTTTACAACTTAAGGCCACGAGCCACGATAATATTATTGTGTTATTGAAAGAACGACCCATCTTTTAGACAAATTATATTAAATTGTATATATTTTAAAACGATTTAAAGATAATCTTTATTAAAATTTGATATTTTTACAGTACAGGTTACATTCGTAACAGTAAAATACGAGAAATATCGATCATTTGGAGGAGTTTATCGATCGTTGTGAGAATTGTGGAATTTTTTTGTAAGGAGAAGAAGATTCAACTAGTGGCAGGTAAATGGGCAGGTTTATGTTTAATGTTTTTTTAAAATAGTTTCTGCTTTATAAATGCAATTTATTACTAATAAATCGTTTCTAATGCGTTTTATACTGATATCTGATAGAAAATATCCAAAAAAAAAACTAGAGAAAATTAGTCTAGAAACTAGAAACTTGTGAGGTATTCGTAGGCAAAAATTTGAAAATTATTACAAGAAAATCATTAATTATAATAAATTTCAAGGACTATATCTTTAGAAAATTATATTAAAAAATGTTTTAATGCAATCGTTTATGGGCCAGCATCCTGGCACGTTAAAAGGGCCTCCGCCGAAGAAAAGGTTGATCTGATGGATACGGCAGTACAAAGCATTGGCGATCTGCCAAGGAGGAATGCCTCCCGGAAAGACTTTCTGTGGGCCCCCTATTTAGGTGTTAGACACGTGAAGAAAACTCCACGCGGTCAGCCCGTAGGTTAGGAGAGAACACGCAAAACTGTGCTCAGTGGTTTAACCACCGAGTGCTCCACAGAAAAGGGGACCTCCACAGAAAGAAAATGAAAAAAAAAAAATAATAAGTAAGGAATGATTCAGAAAGGATATATTTATAAATATTGTATAAATTTAAATTAGATAATACAGTTGTGGAGGCCCCATCGTTAGTCTCTATAGGATCTTCTACAGTTGCCAATTCCCAGGGGCCCCACTTAATTAAATAGATCCGTCTCTTTGTATAATCATTTATTATCCTGTCCGTGCTTAGTATAATTATTCTTCAAACTTTTTTCGTTAAAATTATTTATGCTTGATGTATTTTTGTACACGGAAGACTATAATGAATATTCATAAGAATTCCCGTTTCTTTCCTCAATCCTCAAAAGCGTTATACTGTATTTGCATACAAATTACATTATAGAATTTCAACTTCGTAAACCATCTCGAATTAAGAAGAATAAACACAAACGAACAATTTTGAATTATCTTTTAATTAAAAATAAACACACACACGTGGCTTTCGATCCAACTCCCCTAAGTTTTCTATAGATTTGGTCTCGATTCTCATATATCTAACTCCATTTTCGAGATTAACGACGACAGACAGACGGACGGCAATGGGAATGTACGGGTTTTGCAGTCCAATGATACGATTTAATTAATGCCTTCTTCGTAAATACACAGCATTACAAACGAGCGTGGCATTGATCACATCGCAGTTGAAAGATTTTCAAACTGAAACATTCCTTATCAGTCTCTCTGTCCTTCAGCTAATTTCTTTCTTTTGATTTCGTATTAGCAGTTAATAATATTTTCTTCGCGAAACTTTTGCTTCAATTCCCTAAACAATATAGGAAATGACCCGTAGAAACAGTTCTTGATAAGGAAGTTGATGCAATCCATTCATTTATCGAGACTTGTGTGACATCATAGATCGATTGTTTCGAGTCAGAGACAAAGGAGAAGAATCTTAAAACTCTTATTCTGTTCCGTTCTCGATAATTCTTTATTATATATATTTTTTTATTTATGTCAGCGTTTCCTCCATTTTTCTATATCATATTGTGATATAACCTCGTAATAAAATTCAATACAATACAAAGGAAGGAAGAAGACTTAATCTACCTGGCTTCGTCCCTTTCCACAATGGTGGAAAGGGACGAAGACAGGAGAATCGGATGGGCTGGCCCCAAAAGGGGGCCGGTTTTGATTCCGGGCCCCTAGAACGGTAAACTGTGATCTTAACCGTCCGGCCATCAGGCCGATCTTAATTCTGACATTATAATTATACGAAATAAGTTAATTTCAAAACTTTTGTGGCCCTAAATTATAATATAGAAGAGGCCCTTTTCCATCATCAAATAATAAAATAAAAACTGGTGGCCCTAAAATACTGTTTTTCAATAGTCTTTTTCTAACGGCGGTGCCCTCGACTTGATAACATTTTTCATGCGGCGCTCCTACCTTATTAATTTGGAGTTATTGCGCTTTTTATGAAGTGTTACGACGCCCGGCACTCTATTTTGTGGCATCCTTAAAGTGTCGTTAAAGCATCCCCCTCCGGTCGAAAACCACAGCTTAAACTGTAACTTGTTTATCTGCAGGGTGCGCATTATCCGGCAACATTGCCGTTGGTCTGTAATTGATGAAGAATCCAAGAGGTAGGACTTTTGGGTTTGTTTCGTCATTGAGAGGTGGGCTATACAGTAACACGTATCTTGTATTGAAGAGGGTGGAGAAGCCTCCACCCTCGGTCGTATATTATTTCACGAACATTGAGGTTTTGTTACTCGAATATCTAAATGTTCTATTATTCTGTAAATGTGTTGTTCAATTTACAGTTATACCCGTCTGTAAATTTTGATTTCGACTAAAGTGAATACAGCAAGAAAAGAAATGCAAAACTACATGTAAACATAATGTATAAGAAAAACTTTCATATCAGGCAAGCAAACAATAGAAAACATTCTTCAATAACCATAAAGAAACNATATGCTTCACGATTTTAGTTAAAATTCATACCAAATTTGTACATAATGTACGCAGCAAAGCGTACATTTACGATTCAAAATTCTATTTATAGTTCATTAAACTCCACGGCCTCTAAAACAGTCGGAGTGTTTACATTTAAGTGCAGCCAACCGGCGTACTGTACAGTACATTACATTCTAACGCTAGGTTTAGTGTACTAAAAATATAAATGCAAAACTACATGTAAACATAATGTATAAGAAAAACTTTCATATCAGGCAAGCAAACAATAGAAAACATTCTTCAATAACCATAAAGAAACAATAGCTGATCCAGAAATGATGAATGGAGAAAGGCATATTTCCTTTCTTCACCCCCCCCTGTAACCGGGAAAAACCCTCAGAAGGGGGATTCTTTCCGAGAAAAGCTGGACGAAGTGAGTTTTCCCCCTCAAATGGGGTGCAACTGCGCCCCGCACACCCCCATAAATCCGCCCGCGTAAGGATTAATACGAAGAATAAACTCATTACGAATTCCTGACTCCGTACGTAAACATACAGGTCAATATACTTCTTGGTAACGTCACAGGAACGTACAAGGACGAGACACAAGAATACTTTTCAATTTTCTAAGTACGTATGCATTAAAAAAAAAAAACAGTGTTTTTCGAAAGGAAGTAATCAAATTTGAATTTCTACCTAAGACACTATTTTTCTCAATTTACCTAAGAGTAACGTCAATAGAAGGGAAGAGGGGGAGAAAAAATGCAAAGGCTAGTTACTATAGTAACCAATTCAATTATAAAAAAAGCTTTTTTTATCATTTCGGTAATATAATATATGACATTCTTATATAAATCTCGACTAGATAAACAACTCATCCCAAGATGTAAAGGTTTAATTAAATGTTTTATATTCCGTCTTCCGGTTTAAAAAACAAAAACAAAAAAAAACGCCCAGATAATCGACAAGGGAAGTTAATTTCTTTATTATTATTATTATTATTCTTTTAATTCCCTGGCGTTTAGCGGCATCTTTAAGTATGAATACGGAAAATTTCACGTTGAAGGGTGAACAAACAACCATTCTTTTCACAGTCATCCCATAGGATTTTGTTTTGTATGGGGACATAATATCGATTTTTTTTTGCATAGAAATCTGAAAGTGGGGAATTATTTATCAGTCAGGCCATTTTGTGACGTATTCACGTCGATACTTTGTGTACTCTGGAGAGCAATTACACGCGTGTCCGTCTGTATGCATAGATAGATCTATATAAAGTGGAACGAATCGAGTCGATGGTATAGATTTTTCGTGTTTGTTGTTTTAATCATCGAGCTCGATGACGGGGGAAGAATTTAGGGGGTGACCCAGGTAAAACTCAACCTCCCCCCTTCTGGGGTTCTTCCGAGTACAGTCGGGTACTTCAGAATTTTATAAGGCCCGTTGTAAGTCCCACCCCCTCCAAAGATTTCTGAATCCTGCTGTTGCTTGATGATAATTGAAGAATCAAACTGTTGTCGTCGCCGTTGTTTTCCCCCCCTTTTTCCGATCGTCATCGAGTGGATACCGTATTATCGATTTTTTTCCTACATCGTACCGTACATTAGGACTAAAGTATTGTGCGCGAAGTTAAAAATGCCAATCGATACCCGATGCGACATAAAAAAAAAAAAAATAAATAGAGTCATCGATTTTAATTTGATACAAGTTAATTAGGATCGATTGTTTTCTTTAATATAAACAATATATTTAGCGGGGAAACGTAACCCGAAGAGGTATTATCGATTTCTGCAATTAAGAGACAAGTGTATAAAGATGTCAACAAGAACTTTGTCCTTTACTATCTGACTTTATGCTAATTGCTTCTAAATATAGTCTCCAGTTGAACCATATTTGATAAAAATTAATTATAATCGCATATTGTATGCATTATTATCTCAGCTGTAACTTTGACAGTTTTCTGGTAGCAATTTTTTACAATTATTTGATAACTTTATTAACGTGAATGTAAATATTATCGTTAATTAATACTAAACGCGTTTAATCTGCAGAGAATACAATAGTCCTTCTCCGTAGCTGTTCCCGAATAGGTGTTCCTGAATAGGTGTTCCTCACTTATTCATATTTATTCTTCCCAGAAATCAGCGTTTTTTTTTTTTATAAGTAACGCTGATTTCTCTCAATAAAAGCATATCATATATTCCAAAACATCTTTCCATACGTAGATTTAATGGTTTAAGCTGATATCTTTCTAATCTTTCAACTGATATCTTTACATCTTCGTATAAAATTTATGTCTGACATCATTTTCTATAAATAAACCTCTTAACATATTACTTATTACAAGCAAAAAAAAAAGGAGGCTTTAATATATCTTTCACGAACGATCCTACTTTTTTTACTTCCTTGCGATACAGTAAAACCTGTCTAAAACGGAACCCGAATAAAACGGAAACCTGCCTAAACGCGTTATAAGGAGGCCATTTTTTTGGATATTTTTTAAAACACAAATGAATTAAAAACGTTTATTAAACCTTTAAATTAATTTCCAACGGGGATTTCGGAATTTATCTCACTTTCAGCCGGCATCCGGAGTAACTTAATTGCGAGAATCGCTAATATGCTTCACGATTTTAGTTAAAATTCATACCAAATTTGTACATAATGTACGCAGCAAAGCGTACATTTACGATTCAAAATTCTATTTATAGTTCATTAAACTCCACGGCCTCTAAAACAGTCGGAGTGTTTACATTTAAGTGCAGCCAACCGGCGTACAGTACATTACATTCTAACGCTAGGTTTAGTGTACTAAAAATATTGAGTACACGCGAGCATTTGGGGTCCAAAAATCAGAATTTTATCTTAACGAGGAGGGCTGATGACACACCACGGTTCGCGAGTGGCTGTGGGGGGGGGTTGTGAATCCTGTTGTAATATGTCCCGTTCGCAGGATATTAAACCAGAGTTAAACGAGACGGAAGTCGTTGTACAAACAAAAATCGGGAATTTTGACATCTCTCGGCCATTTGTGTTAAGGATTAAGGAGTAATCTTTCCTTAGAATATCAGAAATTCAATTCCCCTCCCCCGAAAAGGAAGAGTAAATGCGAAAATTCTTCCCCATTTCACTCGATAATCATTAGCCGCACGTCTTCGTACTTCCGAGTGGAAAAAAAAAACGTACGTACCGCATGTCTGTACGTCAGAAGAAACCGTTTTTTCATTAATAAAGATTCGTAATCTTCCTCCGCGTATCGAATTTCTCGAAATTACGCCATTTCCTTCCCCCGTTTCTAAACTTAGACCGTGCCAAAAATCGATAAATTTCGACTTTTCTCTACTATTTTGTTGCCGATTCCGCATTTTGCTGGAATTATTCGTGATAGCGTAACTTAATTTGTCTTCTCCCCGCACAGTCAAACCTGTGAACAGCGACCACCGACCGAAACGTAAAGAAAATGGCCGTCGTTAAGAGGTTCCACCGTACATATCTGTTTTTTTTTTTTTTACTTGAAAACACTGGAGTTCGTTATATCGAAGGAGGATACCTTTTGCGATACTCTTTCAGACCGCAATAAAGAAACTCGATTCGTTATAACGAAATAACCATCCTTCTTCTTCCGTAAATCGCAATTTAATAATCGTTTTAGTGCATTTCCCCTTCGGCATATTATAGTAATGAAGTCCAGACCAATTATGCGGTCAAACTTGCGAACAATGGCCACCGACGGTAACAAAACGCCCGTTATCTGGGTAATTTTATGTAGGTTTTTTTTCTTTTTTTTTTTTTTGCCGTAGGAAAGGATCTTGAAGGATGTCCGCTGTAGAGAGGTGGAGTTTGGAGTGTAATAAATGAACACTTAGCAAACTTTTACAAGTCGGAAAACGAAGTTGACCCGCGGGCATGTTCGATCAAAAACACTTTAACTATTTAAATCCTTGCCGTGTTAATTTAAACTGCTAAAGCCATTGAATTAACTTTAATTATCTTTAATTAAAGTTTTCCATCATCATCTCTTAATGAGACGGTTGACATTTTGTATCGAATCGACATTATATGTTTGACATTTCGAGTAAATTAAATTTATTCCGCCGAATTCGTGCATTTTACAATGATAAATTTTACATTTATACTCGGCAATTATCGTATTATATAAGTCGAACCTCTGTACAACGGACACAGACGGAAACATTTTAGAAAATGGCCGGCGTTTGGTGGTTATCCCGTATGAATTTTCCTATTTCCAGAAGAAACTTTCCTGGCAAGAAATTGGCCGCTGTTTACAGGTTCGACTGTATTAAGCATTACTCGATCGAGGTAAAGGGGGTAGTAGGGCTTTAGATAAAGGATGCCTCGGTTGAAGAGAGCTTTAGACGAGGGGCCCTTTAGATGACGAACCTTTTAGAGGAAGATTGCCTTAGATAAAGGGCCCTTTAGATGACGAGAGCGCGCTTTAGAAGCCATTTTTGAAACCACACCTGATCAGAAATCGCACTTAAGACTGAAAAATTCATGAAATTCATGAAAAAAAAATGAGAACGTCACGTAACAATACATTAATTTTTGAAAAAGAAAAACCCGGGCGTTAAATTATGAATCGGGGGTGGAATTTTGTATTACTGTATGTTTTTTTTTTTTCCGAGGAAAAAAAAAATCGATTTTTTTATCTCCTCCTCTCGTAACGAACTTTCGTAACAGAGATGAATGGTCGACTTCATATATTTTCCTATTGTTCAAATGTTGTAAACAAGTTGTTAAGCGTGCGTATATCAAACAATTTCCTATAGGATGTATCCTGTTATATTTCCTCCATCGATTTTTATAATTATTGATAGTCCGTGTGACGAAGGTGGAGTTTCTTTCATATTATGAATAAACTCTCTAGAGGGACAGTGTTTTACCGTAATTAAAACGTGTAAAAGATATATATATATAGGCCTATATAAGTGTGTGTATCCGTACGTAGGAGAGTCCCGTAAAGTTTTAATTATTTGATTATCTTTACTGTTTAAATAATAACGATAAGTGTCACATCATAAACAGGCTATAAGCCTGATTTCGAACCCAGAAACAACACTAAGCCTTGGTTAGCTTCCAAGAACAAGCTCTAAGCATGATTTAGATCCCGGAAATAGTCTACGAGCCTGATTTTAAACCCAGAAACAAGCACTAAGCCCGACTTTGAAGCCAGAAAATAGGCTCGAAGCCTGACTTATGAACACGTAAACGGTCTTGAAGACGTTAAACGTATCTGTTTCTATTATTACGTAAGTAGCGACTCCGCCGAAACTTTTGCCATTAAAAATTTTTTTACGTAACTCAACTCACCTCTGTCATGGCTGAAGAGCCCTAGGCACACAGTTATAGCTATTCCAGTGAAAATAAATTTCCTAATACAAACGGATATTGTTCTACGTCCTCTACTACGTACGTACATGGTCTAAGTGTATATTTACGTAGCTTAGACCTCTGTGGTTTGTAAACCGCATGCCGAAAATGGCTGAAGGATTCGAATTTATTACAACGATCGGCGGCGTAAGAAACGATACTTCACATGTAGCTTACGACTGAACGTTGTGTGGTGCGCGTGCAGAGCTGCAGCGCCTCTCTCTCTCTCTCTCTCTCTCTACAGTATTGATCTGTGATAGAAACTGTGCACAGAAGACAAAAGTGCACTTCAGCGCAGCGTAAAAACCGTGGTCCAGATTGGACGGTGCCTTCGCTTTCCTTCCAAACTCATCTTAGCCACAGTTCTCGTGTCAAACAATGCTCTCCCCCCCCATCCTCCGAACCGCGTTAATTAAGGTGGGCCTCGACGGGCCCACCTACCTACCTACCTACCTACTGGAGCTTTATGTCTTGGCGGAACCCAGGCAAATTTGAATTAGGGGGTTTGATATCAGACGTTTTTCTTCTTATGAAAGAACGGTTTGGAGCCACACCAACAGGCAAAAAAAAAAAAAGGGCAAATAGGATAATAAAGGACCGCTGCACCTACCTTATTTAAATAGTTACGGGTTCTTACTCACGTTTCTGCGTTTTCTTAAAGGTTTGGCCCGCATATTACGTACTAGAATATGTTTAATTTTTGAAAGTTTACACCAGAAATTAGCACCCCGCAGTTACAAACAACGATTTTTCTGAAATCCTAACGGCGTGGTGCCGATTTCCGAACTCCACCACCGAAATTTATAGCAGCGTAACGTGAGTTCTTTTTTTTTAAACACAATTTTCGTGTAAATTCGGTGCTGAAAATGTAATTTACGGTCTTTCTCTTCTATGTAAGCGCGTTTTACGATTGCCCGATCGAATATGCACGCGCTTCTACGCGCGCTAAGTTTTGGCACTACTTACAAAACGTTTTTGGACTCGGGGGAGGACCTTGAAATGTCGAGAAATTCAAAAGAAATTCGGGGGGGGATTTTCTTTATGTATGGATATTAGTGTGTGGGGTCACGATTTTGTTCGCTCATAACTCCTCTACCTTTTGTCGAAAATTTCTTACATTCGGCAGGGTGGTTTATGTATTGAAGGAGTAAATCCCATTAAATTTTGGTGCTTAATTATCAAAGGGTTGGGGAGATAAGAGGGGTCACTCGTCGTATCTCGAGTGGTGCCGGATTTTATGATTTTACTCGTTATTAGCATTTGCAATTTTTTTAAAAATAAAACACGTCTCTGCCCTCAAAATTAAATGCTTTTATTTTATAATAATTAATAATACGAAGATGTTTTTATTACGAAATATCACAACAGATGGCGCCACGCGCAATTTTAAGTATTTTTTCCGGAAAAGTCAGGCAATTCGTTGCTGTATTCTAAACGACCGTAAAGAACCATCGAAGCAACCAAAGAATCGATTGGTTTTATAGAATTTCAAGAGATTTTTTTTCCAGATAATTTTTTCTACATACATTAATGTAATTACTTATTTTAATTACCGTTTTTCAAAATCTTTATCGATATTTAAAGGTAAAAAATGGCTGGGAAAAAAGCCTCACCTGCGAGTGTAATTGCGCGATAAGCATAATAAATCCGCACGAATATCCATTCTTATCTATTACTGTTTGCAGAATCGATTTTATAATAAACTTCCGAATGGAGGAGGAGGAGGAGGAGGAGGAGGAGAAGAAAGATCCTAAGAGGATAAAAGAATAAATACCTTGACTTCTACCATAAAATGCCATTCAACCTTTTAAAAAATCTGACCTAAATTGAAACTGCTTTGGATATTAAAAAAAAAAACTCTATTTTTAGCAAGAATATTTAATATTTTTAAAATTACACATGAAGATTTATCTTCATCATCATCCGGAAGTGATGTCAGCCTGTGAATTTTATAACCGGAGCGGTTTACTTATTGTGTTTTTTATGGATTAATTATGGCATTAGGAAGATAATTCGGTTCAATTAACGGCGCGTAGTTAATTGAGTATTATTATCTTATTAGTTAATAATAATTTATTGTGACGTGATAAACAGCAATCGAATCAAGGCATAAACCTCGAGCCAATTATTGAGTGATGTCGAATAACATGTACCAATTAGAAGTCCTTGTTGCATCGCTTTTTGACATTAAAGAAGAAGAATTGAGTAGTTCCTTCTCCTCTTCTTCGTCTCCGAAGATTTATTTTTTATTCTAATTAAACGAAAGATTTTTCTTTTTTTAAAAAACGAGACATAATTCAAATTAATGCCTCACATTTCTCTACTTTTATAACCCTTTTTTTGGTGCTATGATTCGATTCAGGGCCCGTTTGCGCCTAAGCTAAACAAGCTGCAGTTTAGGCCCTCTCGTTAAGAGTCTAAAGCTTAAGGCCTCTCATTTTTACACGTATCACCGAGATGGAGAAAAAAGGGCCCGTTTGTTATAGCTTAGGGATGTCACAAGTCTAAACCCTGATCAATAGTGGATCCACTATTGGCCACGGTCCAGCCTACTATTGACTAGGGATGGACTCAGAACTCTCTAACGAAGGCCACGGGCGAATTAGAAGGGGTGCAGAAAGGAAGTGTGCCTTACGAAACTTCTTAGTATCTGAGATACCCGGCTTTACCCAGGAAAAACCCCTGCGCACTCCCCTAAATCCACCCCTTGGCCTTCGTTAGAGTCCTGTCTAATCCGTAAACACGGACCCAACTACAGGAAGAACGACAATTTTCTATACCGCCATTTCAATACAAATCCATACATATTATGTTATTGCCACTTTAGAGTTAAAAATTTTAGTTAAATTTCGAATTTAAAATGATGCTAAACTATGGGGAAGGCTACGGATTGATATTTGACAATAGCCTGGGTTGTCTATAGGCACATCAATTTTTGGGGGGATGGAGAGAGTTGGAGTGGTGCATTTATACATTCTTCATGATTCAGCCTCTATGAATTAATAAATTGCAAATTCTCAGACTCCAGACACTTTGATCTCGTTGCTTTATCGTTTGAGGTCCCTCGCTTTAGCGCCAGTTTCGAAATCGAACGATGGCGCAGTATCGAGGTTTGGCCGTACTTCCAGCCTCTCTGCCCATTCCCGTTATACTAAATTTGCAGAAAATCTTGAAGCATGGAACTTATAAATCAAAAATAAGAAATATTTAAGCAATTTTCGTGATCGCTGGGTTTGTATTGATTATTTTTCTAAAAATATACTTATTCCCGAGTACATAAATTGATCATTTATATAAAAATTCCTTTATATAGAGAGGAACCAGAAGCAAAAATACATTTTAGCTTTTAAAAATATTGAAAATGTTTTCGAATTTCTGCATTGGTTTTTGTTGCAGAAATTCTTAAACTTTGTGATTGTAAAGAAAAAAATTCCTCAGTAGATTCCATTTGGTGGAGGCAGAAGCGCGTATAAGAATATAAAAGTGTATTGAAAGATGGAGAAAATGTAACAAGGTTAAGGAAAGGACAAAGGGCGCAAACAATGAGGGAAATGCTTCGTAGAGGAAGGGAAAGGGAAAAACGAAAATAGAGAAAATGTAACACGTTTAAGGAAAGGACAATGGGCATAAAATATAAGAGAAATGCTTCATAGAGGTAGGGATGAGGAAAATGAAGACAGAGAAAATGTAACAAGCTTACAGAAAGGATAAAGGGCACAAACAATAAGAGAAATGCTTGACAGGGAGAAGAAAGAACGAAAATACAGAAAATGTAACAAGGTTAAGGAAAGGACAAAGGGCGCAAACGACAGGGAAAATGCTTGATAGAGGGAAGAAAATAGAAAAGAATACGGCGTTTAACAGTAAATACTAGCGAATCGATAAGGTAATACGAAAGTTCATAACACACAAAGTTTGCACCGCGTGAAACGAATCATTTTCAAAGTATAAAATGATAAAAGACTTTAAACAAACGGGCTGCAAACTTTTATTTTCTCGTTAGCGTCGTTGCAATAATTATAAATCTATTTTTAAAATTGAACAAGAGAGAGATTGTGATGAATGGAATGTAATTTTAAATGCCGTTAATTAAAGGGCGACGAAAGTAAACGGAAATGAATTGACCATGCCAATATCATCTTTTCCTTGTTTTAAGAGTGGCCGTTTCTGCTTTTATTGCTTGTTTATGCGGCAAAGTTCGGGATTTAACGTCGTTTCCGACTCGATCGAGGCAACCGGTCGATCGCGTTCCACTCCGTAACCCAAATGAACTTTGCATTTATCGTTATTGATTTTCCCATTTTATGATATTAAATAGCCTGAGCGCTGTTATTGACATTTTTGCAATTTGCCTGGAAAATTAAACTATTTCCCAGCATAGTTAATGAAACGTACGCTATAAATTAACGTAAGGGCCTCTCACGGGTCCGGAGGGGCCCACTCCGCTCGCCTTTCTGAGGCCCGTAGATAGTAGGACCAGGCCAAACAATCCGCTGACACCTCTACGATGTATCATACTAGGCCCCAAGAGGTGTCAGCCTGTGATGAAGGTTGGGGCCTGTTATACACATCAGGGGGCATGGAGCGTGGTAATATACATGAAAATTCACAAGGCAGAATTAATGACTAAAAGTTGATCGATTTTTGTTTATATTTTTAAAGTGTATTTCTAAAAATACTAGAGGAAAGCGCTTTTTTCTGTTGCCAACACGTTAACTGGATTAAATCGATGTTATTCATTTCGGAATTGTTAGAGGCATCACGTTGCGCCCCTTGCTCTTTTCCAGCAAACCTTAACCTAATTAACAAAGGTTAGAGAGTGTGGATTTTCCACTTGGGATATCCATCAAATAAATGAATGGAGGAGTGAAAGGGCATGGTATTTATTGAGTGACAAAATCTCTAAGCGGGGCCAAAAGGGAATGGAGAGTTGTAGGTAGAAAGACCATTTTGGGACCCTCTGCTTTTACAAATAACACAAATGAGATTGAAGTAGAAAAAAGTCCTACGAGAGGGAGGTGCAGCCCATCTCTGGTAGGGCCTGCCTCTATGCTTACTATTTACAATTTACTTACATGACCACTCCATTCTCTACAGAAATTTTAAATAATTAAAGTTGTAAATTATCGCATGTTAAGGCTGATCTTCAAGACTGCACACTGGAGTCTGGTTAGAAAAACAACTTTCAACTAACAAATGGTAGCCTCGTGCATAATTTCTGGTCAATTTGACATGTGGCAGTTCTATACATAAACAAAACTAAATCCATTTGTGTGTATATAGCCTTCTAAATATAAATATATATGATTCTATATACTGTATGTAGGTCTTAAATGTCCTATTTGTAGGCCATCTATGTATAGTATGTATATCTACTGTATATACTGTATGTAAACCACATATGTACAGTACTGTATGTAGAAGGCTTACTGTATGTTTTAGAGTTAATTCTAAATTATATTAAATATTTTGTAAACTGTACACTGTTAATTTTCATAAACTTACCTTCTTCACCTATAAGTTTTTATCTGCATATTTATAAGGGACATTAAGGCAAAAATATTTTCATAATCCTAGAAAAAAGGGTAGTTAAAATTTAATATAAAGAAACATGAAGATTTATTGTGTGATCAATATCAATCTGGAACTTCCCTTAATATATAAATCATCTCGCATACCCCCTGTAAAACATGAAAATTTTAATATTTATATAAAAAAATTTTTTTTTTTTTGCATCTTATCGTCCCATTAAAGTTTTAATACGTGTGTATCATACACAAGAAAAATGGCAATTTAAAACTTTAATGTGGATTCAACCATAAAATATTCATAACGTAACTTATGGCATTTCGAGAGTCGGAGTGACAAAGTGGTGTTTGTTCCGACGTCTAGGATTTTACACAAATTACAATTTAAAATTTATTGAAGGGCTTACGAAGTTATCTATTCTGATAAACAAGATTAGAAATTTTACTTGTTAACATTTATACCAGAAGACGAGGCAAGTTCAGTTTAAAACTGTGGAAACGTATTTGTTTAATAGGACAAAGAATTAATAAATTATAAGTTTATTTTTTATTATAAGTAAGTCTGATGATGTATTAATGATGTAATCTAAACTTAACATAAAAAGTTTAATTCTTTCTATGGTTTTACAATGTATTTAAATTTTTAAAAACTAAAAAGAATAATAGCGATATTTATAATTTAAAATGTCATTTCCGAGATAATAATTGTTTTTGAATCGGTCTCAGCTGTTGTTTCAGATCGATTGGATGTTATCCAGGAGATAGATATAAAAGACTCCCGTTGGTCTGCCGATCGGAAATGAACAGGAAATACAAACTGAAACCTAAAAAAAAATAATTTCTAGAAGTTAATGCATAAAACAATCGTGTATCTAGATATATAATTTCAACACTAATTATTTTGTGTGGTTGCGTAGAATGGACCCCAAAGATTTAATAATTGTGACCGAAAACAGCTACTATGGGTTAAATAATTAATAACTAACAACTATGTCAAGCAAAATGCTTGCTAATTGTAGTACTCAAATTATTGAAGTTTGATTTAATTATTATTTTAAGTTTAACGAATATATCCGATTAATTTGGCTTCAATAAGATTTGATGAAATCGGTTTTAAATATAAATATACTTTTTATTAAAAATTAAAAAAATATATACAAATCTATGTACAAAACAATTAAGATTCTTTTTCTTCTTCATCGTTATCCTGAGTTATCTGTTCCTGTTTCCACTTTCTGGCCATTTCCAGCAAGCGTAGGTGAGGTTGAGCCGCTTCGTCCGTGGGGAAGATGTAGTCGAAATATTCCTCCCATCCCGCATCCGACTGAAAATAATAATTATTATTATTTTTAATTTGAGTTTTGGATTATAAATGATTTCAATTTTTCTATAAAAAGGTTTCTTACTCCATCTTCGGTCTGTATCTTCCGTCGCTTCTTCACTTTCTTTGGAATTTGTTTCTGTATGTTCTCTCTGGATTCATCATCTCCGTGTTCATTCTGGAAATAAAATAAGAATTACTTTGCGTAACATACACATTAAATAACAGAAAAATTTTTAATAAAAGATGATTGTTTAGTTCAACTTTGGCTTTTCTTTATGCAGAATTTGAAAATTAAATTCTACGTCAAGACAAGCTGGAAAAGAACTACAGAAATCTTGCAATATTTCTCAAAATAAGATAGGACACTCCTAAATATCTGAAATTACTTATTGAAGATGGATAAGAACATAGTCTTGCTATTTTTCAAATAGAACAGAATAAAATTATACAGTTTATTACATGTTTAAACACTGAATTTGCATGTTTCTTTGCTTTTTTTTTTAGTGTATATGATTTGATAAATGAGAATAACACATCACTTTTAAGCAAGAGACAGTAAATCTATGCCATGGATGAATAAAAAACAGTCTGGAATGTAAACTTTTTCAAGATTTTAATTATATGTTAGTCAATGTCAGAAAATTAAAATACCAGAAAATAAATGATTTTACTCTTTGTCATTTGGGCACCAAGAAAGCTTTTTCAAGCCCATTATTGGTTCAGGCGGGCCCACAATGTGGCAGCTGAGCAGTAAGGGTCGTGACCCGTCATATCTGAACGGGCCACCCCCAAAAAATTTTCAGATTTTTTCGATTGCCCAGATTTGATCCCGGGCCACTCAGAGTGGTAGACCGAAACCTCATCCGTACAGCCGGCACTTGAATAATTTATTTGACTATATTAATAATGAAATAATCACCAAATTAATAACTTCGTAATGACAAATCATTAATAAATTAATATTAAACACAATTTGACAAGTTATGTTTCATGTAAAACTCACAGAACTTTCTAAACTACAATATATCTTGAAATCAATATTTAGTAACATTCAAACAAAGAAACCTATAGAACCAGTCTAGTGTACTGTACATGTATGTAGCATACAACTATAAATATGTAGAGAGATAAAATAGTAACTAGGTATTGCTAAAATTATCTAGAAAATAATTGAATTTTTAATGAATTATGATCAAAATAAATTTTAGCTAGTAATTTGCAACAAAATTGACATTCAACTTTTAAAACTTATAGTCATATTAATAATTAACTATATAATAGAAAAACTTCATATTAATTTATTAATTATTTGATAAAACTGAATGTGAAATTAAGTATGTAACAAGTTAGACAATGGCTAATCATTTGGACGTCATGAATTAAACTTTTAATAATGTGTACTTGTAATTTTAATGGGAACTATTTTAGCCCCACGGGCACTAAGAGGGGAAGGCCCACCGTGATTTAGTCCAGATCCAAGATGGAGTGATTGGATAGCAAGGAATGGTATTCAACATATCGAAGATGGACCATCTGCAAAAAATTTCCAAGGGTTTTTGACTTCCCGAAATGGCAGACTGATGCCTTGGCCATATTTATAACTTAAAACAAGTGCAATTACGATATCTAGTTATATTTAGTTATATCTAAGTAGCTTTAGCGTATTGAGATTATCTATATCAAAATTTAAATCAAGTTCATTAAATTACTGTAGACACAATTTTAACAATTAAATATGTGTGTGTCATCTTTGTAGGGGGCAAGAGAGATCTTTCCAGCATTGCATGAGTGTTAAGAACACAATATACACTTGTTCCAGTGCTAAAATAACCAAAGGGAATCAATTTAGGACAATTAATGATCTTTTCTTAAAAAATAAAGATAACATTGCAAAAATTGATACAAAAAAGTGAGATTTATTTTGTAGAGAATGTGTTCAAGATGACCATCTTCAGTGGCAATACAAAAATGTAGATAGTGTGGTGTTCCAGATGGTACTAGCACTCATGGTGTCACCATTTCACCATACTTTGAAATGCATTTCTCAATATTACGCAGTACTGCTAGATATGCACCATATACCAATGCTTTTAAGTGATTCTGTGGAAAAAATTCTGGAAGGGTTGAGTCTGGGGAATGTAATAGCTCCTTTCTATGACTATTACGTCATAGAAAGGAGCTATTTGGTCTATCCAGCAGTTGCCAAACTGCTATGTGAGCCACATGCACATCTGTCCAAGAATGAGGTGGTATTCTATTATGTTAGTACTAAACCTACTAGAATTGTGCTAATGGCAAGTCATCAAGCCATTTGTCCATCATGTTTAAGTCATTCATATATTAGTCATAATTCAGGGTGTCGTCAATGAATACAGACAAAGAAGCCACTCACTCCAAATTCCACACCAGCTCATTCCCAGTCAGTGGCTCACAGAATGGTTTGGAAACTGCTGGAAAGAACAACACTAAGTTATTCCATGGCCACCATGTTCTCCAGATTTGACTTCTTTTGAATTTTTGCTGCAGAATCACCTAAAAGCATTAGTGTACGATACATACCCATATCTAAGTAGTTTTTATCACAAAAAAGATTAACGTAGTCTCTGTTTATTCTTAAAAACTCAACCTTTATATTATGAAAAGACAGAAATATTGGTTATAATAAAAACTTTTGTCAAATTCTTTCATTTGATTTTGTAAGATACTTAAATAAATTTTTAAGAAAGTATTAAACTGTTATAAAATCAAATAACAGAACACTGATTATTCTTTGGAATTATTTTCATGAATTAATTTGCTAGTTGAATAAATTGCCATATAAAATAGAAAATGTTTAATGTTAATTCTTTTATAAAAAAATCTTATAAAATATACTCAAAACATGTAGCTAGAATATATATATATGAATGCATAAATTATATTGCTATTATTTTGTTTACAAATGTTTCCTTGTATTTCATTACTAGTTTAAAACAACTTTATTGTATTAATTTTCAATATCTAAATGATACATCCTACATAGTGACATAGGGCTGCACTCTGAAGTATGTAAACAAATTTTCTAAATGATACAGAAGAAAGACATATCTACTTCTTACACATATAATTAAAATGGATGATGCTTGTTTTTAAGATTTTTGAATATCTATACTGTAATGGTGTTCCATGTTAAATGATACTGATGTATACAATAAACATTAAAAAAAATAGACAAATAAAAAAACATTGTACGAATTATTTTTTAAATTTTGTAGCTAATCAGATTCAATATTTGAGAATAATCAAAATTAAATTCTACGCTTTGATATTTTATTTGAAATGGATTGACTTGAATTTATGTACTCAAAGTACACAACAGCAACTGGATGGCCAAGACAATTGAAATTTTGGCTTATCGCTTGGGACATTGAATCCATGTAGGTCAAAAAAGCCCTGGAATTTTTCAGAGGAGGTCAGTCCAATATCTATGCCACCCAGCTTCTCTTATTGTAAACCTGGCAGAATCCACAGTGGACTTAAAAAAGGCCTTCTTAGTGTCCACAGGAAAATTACATAATCAAATGAAATAAAATGTTATTCTTGCATAAAAGTGTCACTAAAACCAAATTGATCAGAATGTAAAAATGAAAGAGGTTTTAACTCTGTCTTGTTGGCACCAAAAGTCTGTCTTTCATACTATTGTGGGCCCAAGTAAACCCACAATGGGGATTACTAAGTGGTGAGGCATGGGGTGTGACCTATCTGGAATGAACCAGTATAAAATTGGGACAAAATCTCGTGCATGCAGCTATCCAGCTGTTGATGTATGAGATTTATAAAATTAGATTTTAAAATTACAGTAAAATATTTTTCCATTTGTACTTTGATCATTTTCATGTATTAAAAAAACTACTTACCTCAAAATCTCTCCAAGCTTCCAACAACATTAATCTTCCTTCTTTTTCGTTAGAAAGTCTGAGTTCTTTATTTGCACGCTCATAAATGTGACGTGCTTGAGCAATTGAATTATCTCCTCCGCAAGAGAATTCGAACTGAGCATAACTGATCCAAACCTTTTATATATATATATATAAAAAAAATTGATTATTATAATTCAAAGTTCAATATTAATTATGATTTATCATAAAAATCTTATGTGATAATAATTTGTAATCTACCTTAACGTGTTGTGTACGCTCTAGGAGACGTTCGTACAACTGTCGTGCTCTGTCATATTCTTCCTGTTCGATTTCAAAATCTATGTATGATTTCCAGATAACTTCTGGCATGTCTAGCCTTGGCTGGTTAATGGCAATTTCATATATGGCTCTGGCACGATCAATATCACCCAAAATTGTTTCCAATTCTGCAAACTTTAAATACATTTTAGAATTTTATGTTTCATTATGTTATATAATCTTTTATTTTTAATATAAATAAATAAAACTATCTATAATCAAAATTACTTTCATCCAAGTTGTACAATTTTCTGGAGCAAATTCAAGAAATTTCTGATAGAGTATCCGACATCGATCAAATTCTCTCAGCTGTACTTCCAAGTCAATATAACCACGAAATAGTTTATCTTTAGGACACATTCCTATGGAAGTTCCCTATAAAATACATATATATATTTAAATATTTAAGTATTTAATTAAATTATATACAGTACAATCTTGGTAATCTGGCCATGTCTAGTAATCCAACACTAGTCAACTTGGGTATTTCTGGCACCATTGCCAGAAACTGGAGTTTGAAGTAGTGGGAAGCTGCCTATGATTTGGCACCATTGTCAAATCATAGGCAGCTTCCCACTACTTCAAACTACAGTTTCCACTAAATGTGCCATGATCTGAGCTTGAACACAACATTAAAAATTGTGGCTCCACAAAAAAGGTACAACATCTTATAACATGACGCTGTGTAAATATAAAAATCTACCCGAAATATATTACCAAAAATACTTCCCACTAAATCTAGTGGGAATACCTCAACTCAGCAACATTGTTCACCAGTGACGGAAGAGTGCTCAGATGTTTCAATCAGTTATCCAACTTGCATTTTACTGCATCATTAAATGCTTCTCATCATTGTTTGTCATCATCTTGCTAACACTGTAAATTTTTGAGGTTTTAGTTGTAGACACAATCTTTCTCTGGCTCTTTCTGATTGCAATAATGATTATCTAGCTGATTTTGCACTATAAAATTTGTTTACATGACTTGAATTCATTTTACCTCCGATAATTCCACAATCTCCTTAATCCGACACTATGCCGATTCCATATACGTTAAGATTACCAAGATCGTACTTTGAGAGATTAACTTGTTTCAGTTTACTTTTAATACTATACGTAATACGTACTAACAACTTTCTTGCGGCGGGAAGACTTTTTTGTCTAATCTCAAACTGAGCAGCAAAAAGCCAGATTTTTGCAAATGTGAATATTTTGTGAGGGATAACTTGCAAACACATTTGATAAACTTGTCTTGTCCTTTCGAAATCTTCAACATCGAGCTCTTCATACAATGCATAATTTATCCACAAGTAGATGTAACGTCTCCAGTATCGCTTTTCCTACCAATATAATTTCCATAAATAAAAATAATATTTTTTGAAATAATTTAACTTTTTTTTTTTGATAACTACCTTTACGGGTGGCACATTGGCTATTGCTCTTTCGTACACTTCTCTCGTTGCGTCGACACTTCCTTCGCTTTCCATTAGCCTCAAGTAATCGAACCAGGCATCATAATTTTGCGGATTATTCTTGACTTCCTAAAAAAATTACAGATAAGATTAATTTTATTCCTTTTTCATTTTTATGCTTTTTAATTACATCTTATTATTTATAATACAAATAAAAATCACCTTAATTGAAATATATAGTAAACATATAGTAAAAAAAATTCACTCAAACAAACAATATATCGAGGCTCCCACTAACAAATAATGAAAAAGTAGGATAATTTTAATGAAAGCAATATTTTAGTATCATATTTTCTTAAATTTCAATGTCCTTCTTAATTTTTAATGTAATTTTTATTTATTCCCAAAGTTTCCAAATGAGGTAATCAAATGTGAAATGTATAATGTCCATTATGAAAAACTGACATATTCCTTATATTTTAGTTAAATCTACACTCTGAATGTGCTACTATTTGCATTGAGCAATTGTATCTTGTAAGGAAATACCAACTCTGTTGCTGTTTAGTAAATTCGAATCTAATGATGTAAATGCCATTTTCTTTTTGATCTTGTTGCTGGTAAGTTCTTCACTTCAATTTTTAAAAATAGACATATTATACCTTTTGCACGTAAACTCCTCCTCCTCCTCACTCACAACATTCTACTTCTACAATCAAATTGTAGAATGCTGACTGACTGAGGAGAGGTACTTAGGTACTTGGATTTTATTGTGCCTTAGGTACCACTTTAAGGCACAATAAAATCCCATTTATCAAGTCCTGTGTAGATTCATAATCTTCAGTTAAAAGAAGAAACAGGCTTATTTTCTCATATTCATTACTGACATGATCATTGTTGCCCTGTGAGGCATGCTTCTAAGACACATCTTATAAGCTATCAAATACAGTAATTATAAAATTTAGTACAGATTTTATAAAACACATACCATTAGTAAAAAATTTATAAGTGTTTTACTTGTAGTTTAAGTTTATACTACAAGTAAAGCATGTATTTAAGTAAACTACTTGTTTTATTTGTGTGTGCTCCACCATGCCTTTTATGAAGCAAAATACCTGCTATTACTGCAAAAATTTTTGTAAAAGAAAATGAAAACAAGTATGGTGAAACCTTTTAGTGAATGCCTCACTTAAGTGAATGATCAGAAAATTCCCTTTGAAAATGCCATAAGTTATCATTATTGTTTTACTTGAACCTCATATAAGTGAAGTCTAATTTTCCCTCAGGGTGGTCTTTTATCCCATTTTAAGTGGACTCACCCAGATGGTTGAGTGGTTAACATTGCTCTGGGCGATCTGGGATCAAATCCAAACAAGTCAAAAAACATCAGGAATTTTTCAGGAGCAATTCATCAGGATATGTTGGGCACCATTCTTGGCACCTGTCCAATCCACTGTGGGTCAAATTCATAATTGGCTTGCTAAAAAGGCCCTCTTAGTGCCTACAGGGCAAAAAGTATTAAAAAAAACTAATTTTTTAAGTGACCAGTCGTAATTTCCCTAATTGTTCTCTAGACAAAAATAAGGACTTTGTTAATTTCCTGAAAGCAAAGTTAAATGAAGAAAACTAGCAAAAATGCAGAATTAGCTAGAAGTCCTGGAAATGAGAGATAAAAAGTAGTTGATGTTTGTCATACAGCAGCAGTCAGCATTCGTAGTTAAAATTATGAATGAAGTAAGTGATATTTAGTATTTACCATAGATAAGACAAATCAAGCAACCACAAAAAATATATATCCAAAATTCTATACTCAATAGGGAGTGTGGACAGAAAATAGGAAAGGTAGGTCTAGTAGGAGGGAGCCCCGAATATATGTAAACTTTTACAATCAATCATAGTTTAAAAATAAGTGTAATATGTTCTATTTCCTATTAAAAAAATGAAAAAAGTTAATTATTTTTATGAATATTTATTCCAAGTAAATGCTGCTTAATAATGGGGATACATTCCAAGAAATACTCATAGTGTATTTAGATAAACCTTATATGATATAATGTACTAATCATCTTGGCTAAATGTAACACAATTATAAGTGTTAATGAACTAAATGTATCTAAATATAGAACAGGTACAGGAAGCTGCTACAAATTTTTCAGTTCCATTATAATCTTATGGGAATTCTGTCACATATGTAGTCTGTTGTTAAGCAAAACATTACTGTTGACATTAATATTTTTATATGATCATAAGTATTGATCAAAGATCAAAATTATATTATTTTGCTATAACTAAAGCTGAACACATCAAATTATTTTATAAAGATATAGAATACTAATACTGTAAACAAATATGAATTAATATGAATGACATAGAGAATATTACAAGCTTACTTTATTAATAATCATCCAGCCATCAGCCAAAGTAATTGGGCAGAATTATGCTACAAATATTAATTATAAATTACATGATTACAGAAGTAGAGGTAGATGTTAGGCTCCATCTTTTAACAATAATTTAATTTAATTTTACTTTATTAAGCTTATATTAAAGAGTGTTTTCAACTATTGCACTTAAGACTTATTGTTCTGTTTGTGCAACTGAATAAGCCTAAAATAAAGTAGGCAAAAGTACTCTTTAATATATAAATCCCATGATGTGTTCTCTCTCTGAAAATTCTGTGTGTCATTCTAATTTAAACAAATTACTTTATGAAAAAATACAACAAATAAATCTATATATTCAATTTGCACACAAATTGAATATAAAAACAATATTTGTATGCATAAAATATATATCAAAATTTTATCATCATTATTATTATTATTACCTCTTCATACTGAAATTTCCGTTTGCTAACAATAATGTCTTCTATTCCTGCTCTGTCTCCATATTTCTTTTCATGGATGGTATAATTTTTTAAAAGTTCTTGAGCCTTTTCTTTAGGAATATGGTCTAAAGCATATTTATATATGACGCGTACTCGATCATGCTAGATATTTTCAAAAGAAATAAGCAAAAAATGTTAACATCTTTAATACTGAAATGAATATTTGAACGTTATGATACAAAAAACAATTCATTATTTGATCAATAAAACTATATTTTCAAATAGATGAGATAGGCAAATTAACAAGAACATGCAGTAAGTATATAAATATACATTTAACAAGTCTCAAATATTAACATTAAAATATAAAATTAAACAAATATATAGTATAGTTTAAAATTCAATTCTGAGATAAGTATAGAGTGATGTAAAAATCAAATTGAACACAATAAAAATTTCAATTCTAAGTAAAATATTATAAAATAAAACTATCACATCAATACTAAATCAGTTTCATTCTTGGCATGTGGTTACATACTTTTGTTTTTTAAAAATTTTGAAATATTTTATTTTGAAATTTAAAAAATTTTTTAATAATACCTATTTAAGAAATTCATTTATTTTGAAGATTATAATAAAAATCTCTCTACATGCATTTAACGTACCTAAAGTTAATTTTAGTACAATGCCTTTTTTGTGGTTTTAAAGCAATCCAACAATATTCCCCATCAAAATCTGACACACAAATATTCCAAACCCAAGTGAAATTCAAAACCACAAGCGTAAATATATTTGCCCGATAGATCAGTCAAACATATGTGAAGCTAAAAGTTTGCTACATTAAAAAGTTGCTATTGAAATTTTACTATATACTGCCAACAAATTAAAAGTTAACTTTCACATCAAAGACACAACTTTCTATATAACACGTATTTCCACATAGTTTATAACAATGATGGCACTGCTACTCACAAGTCACATGCCAATCTTCTATGCCCTTACTGAAGCTCCTATATACTTATACAACTTCTTTTCATAAACTTGGAATGTACTACTTACATATATATATATATATATAACATATTTTAAATTTTTGTAAACTTTGTATATATTTTTCTGTAATTTACTTTGTTAATCTCATTCCTTTTGGAATGAGGTTAACAACACCAAGAAAGAATAAAGGCAGTTCGAGTGAGGACCCTGAAGTGAATGGACGTGTTATTTTATGGTCCAATTTTCTTTTGTCTTGCTCACCCTACACTTGACCCCATGACTACGACTGCAAAATAATACGACATATATATATATATATAATATTTTATAAAGTTTGCCAACTATTATGTAGTATGACTTACATACAGATTGTAACTCACAACTTAATCAGCTAAGGATATTCTCAAAATGTCTAAATATTTACCTAGTCAGTTATAAAGTACCAGTAAACTAACAGTGACATTTCCTGTAGAACAGTGGTAATCATAGTATTTTAACTATACACAATATAATACTGTTCCAATAGAGTATGTGGTTCTCGTGTATTTCTAATAGACAATACGTGTCTTCTATTGTGATAAGGATCGGCAACACTTGATTCCAACTGCATGATTTATGTAGTTAGAAGATTATATAGAATCCAGCATACAACTCCATTCTTGTTTCTAATGTTATTGCTGTCTTCATCAGTAAAGAGATTTCAGTGATAACAGAAGCTTGTCAGTGGTTGTATTCTATGTTAATAGAAACTGTAAGTGTAAAAAGTTGACAATTCTTATGGTATAAATACCACAATATATATGTTTTATAACTTTCAAATTAAAAACTATGCTATCTTTCAAATCTTATAAATGCTTACTTCTTATACAAACAACCCAATAAACCCAATGCTTGATTAAAACCAAATAAATTTTTATCTAATTATTATCCCCGATAATTTGGCAAATCATCTGGTTTATTATATTGTAAGGTATTTTTCCTATAGAAATTTAAATTGTACTGTACAATATATAACCTTAAATTCAAAATATGATTTTGTTTATGTCCCACTCTGAATGTTTTAAATCCTCTTATAACCAATTGTTCATGTGTTTTTCATATTCTTGTCATATTTAATATATTAAAATATTTATCTGAATAAGAAGTTTTACTCATTAAATAAAGAAATGTCCTATTCAATTATTTTTTGGATAAGAATATATTACAGTATACAAAATTAAAATGTTACTAACTTCTCTTTGATTTTCCTCAAATTTGGCAAATGCAATGAATAATTTTTCATCCATAAATTCTTCTCCGAAAAATTCTACAGCTCGTTCATATATCTTTCTAGCATTGGTGATATATCCGTGATTCTCTTCAAACTTTGCATATCTGATCCAATTTTTTATCTCAGGATGAACAGTTACAAGTAAAATAGTGTTAAAGAATAAATTTTTCTTTCAAAAATTTAAACTGTTTTTGTTTCATTAATGGCTTTTGAATATTATGATTAATATTACTAAATTTCAAAAAAGCTTTTTCATTATTTTCAAATAATATATATTCAAATAATTGCGTAAAATTCTAACATTTAGCAGAAAAATAAATATTTAAGAAACATACATTAAATATAAAATGACGAACCATAAAGGATATATGTCTCGTATATCTGTCGAGCTCTTTCGATTTCTTTGTAACGTAACTCGAAATTAATGTAAGTCAACCAAGCTTGTTCGTGTGGTTCCCATTCCATCCATCTTTCGAAAACTTGACGTGCTCCAGCCACGTTACTAAGCATTTCTTCCATATAAGTATACTTGTACCAAAACTGATTAACTCTTGGTAAAATTGATACCGCTCTGTCCCAGATGTTTCGTGCATGATTCACTTGACGATTTCTACAAAACAACATAATATTTTGTGTATTATTCCAATTTTTATCTATTTAAGAATTCTAAACAGTAAACTTAAATATTGCTTTCATGGAAAATTGAAATAACTAATTTAATTATAAAACAAAAACAATCAAACACTGTTTTTCAGAACAAAAACATTTTTACTCCACTGATGTGTTTCTAGCTCTCTTTTCCTAATCATCAAGTTACATTATTCTGATTTAACACGTTATGAATATTATCTTGTCACAGAAATGTGATTTTTCTCAACAAGACAATATGTATAAATTGTTAAACTGTACCCTGATAATGTTGCATCCAAAAGCACCAAAACTTAGATAAAATAATTTTTTATTCTGGAAAACAACAATTATGCAATTTTTTCTTTGTTTTATGTTTAATGTAAGTCAAAAACTTTTAATCGAAAAAAATGTTTAAATTATACAGGGTCTTTCAAAAAGAATGCTACCATTTTAAATTATTGTAATTGTGTTAATTATCATCTGGGGACATTGCAATATACTTTAAAACATTGAAAATATTTCTGAATTTCACATTTGCCCAGTACAATTTCTCAACGTGTGAACCTAGCGACACATGGACACACAACTGACCAATAATCAAATTCTTCCTACACTGCTATGGTTTTGTCACTCCTTCCACGGCAGCCACAATTCTACAACTCCTGAATATTTTTTATGTTGTATAATAACGAGTGATTCCGACTGCAAACCGCAGAACACAAAATGCCTTCTCTATTGTGGAGTTACCATTTTTGTTTATGGTATTTCCTAGTGGCAGTAGATGACAAGAATGCAGACGGAAGGTGAAACTTGGACGGGTACTCTATCAATTGGTATACGTCACACACTTCTCAGATAATAATTAACATTGTTACAGTAATTTAAAATGGTGGCTTTCATTTTGAAAGGCCCTGTATATTTAAATGATTTCCAATTTTCAATTAATTTAATTTCATAATTTCATAATTCATGATTTCCAATTTTCAATTAATTTAATTTCATAATTCATGATTTCCAATTTTCAATTAATTTCATCTATATAAGAATGTAATTACTTCAATATACATCTCATGATTTTTAAAAATATTATGATTTATAAAAAAAATTTAGAAAATTTTCTTAAATTTTGAAATGTTTTTATACACACATACAAACATACACACTTACATTGATTACTTATTTTATGATTGAGAATACTGACAAAGTTTAATGTAATTAAAACATTTACATAGAAAGAGTAACAGTTATTGATTTTAAAAAACTACAAGAAAAATTGAGAAAATAAAGTATATAATAGCAGTTACAAAATAAATGATAAATTACATGTTTATCATCCAAAGTAGAAATGAATAGTAATGAACAATGTCAGATAGTAAAGTATTGATCAAAGGAAATGTAAGTTACTTCTTTGTTTAGAAAAGTATTATATAATTAATGATGATGGGAGTTGAAGTACAAGATCAAAGATTTTATAAGCCAAGAAAGAATAAAGGCAGTTCGAGTGAGGACCCTAACGTGAACAGACGTGTTATTTTCTTTTGTCTTGCTCACCCTACACTCGACCCANTGAAATGTTGTTTATTACGTAAACTAAATAAAATAGAATAAATCTAATGTGATGCTAATTAATAACACAGTAATTGTATTTATGTAAATAAAATCATCTCTACAAAATTTTCATAATATATTAAGTTAACAAAAAGAATTTTCACTTTCTATATGTGAAAATAGTCTTTTATACAAGCAAAGTCATGATGTTAATTAGATGAAAAATGTTAATAATGTATTAAAAGTTTCATACATTTATTACATAGTAAAGACCAATATTATATTGGTCTTTTCTATGTAATAAATGAAAGTTTAGGGTTCTACTGTTTATTCATTTTATATTTTATGCAGCAATAAGTAAAAATGTAGGATATAATGCACAGCATAAAAATGTTAAAAGTAAAAAATGTACAGAATGTGCCAGAAACACCTGAAGATATTTTAGTTTTTATTTGCAAGACTTGGAGGCAATTTACAAAATTTTATTTCCAAGGAATAACAGTGATACATATTCATTCTCCATTCTATGCAAAACAATAAATATTTTTGCTTTCCTCTGAAATGTTAGTTTATATTAAAAACTGTCAGGTGATTCTGGTGCACCTTGTGCATTATTTCATAAAAATATTTATTTTTAATTTTTATTCTTATAATTTATAATGAGAGATCAATTAGTTAATTTTATGATTGTTAATAAATTATGAATTTAATGAGAATGTCAATGAAAGTGAAGATTTCATCTAGTGGTGTTGATGTAAATTTTAAATGATTAAGAAATAATTTGTATCATTTAAATGATATTCTATTATTCTATAATTATCTTCTTTTAATTAAAAGAAATTAAATGAATTATTTTAGTACTTTTGTAATTATAAAAATAAAGCATATCTTACCTCATTTCCATCTCTGCATATTTCAACCACAATGTAACATTCCTGTGATCCACATCGAGTGCACGTTCGTAAACTGATCGTGCTCTAAAAGAAATAGAAATATTCCAGTATGTATTTTATGTACTTAT